CTGAAGATATTTTGACATTCAAAAACAGTACGCTTATCGTAACGCTTTCCGAAGCCCCTTGTAAATGCCAAAGATTAACCCTATTCTTCTTTCTGCTTTTCTTTATTGAGAAACTTTTCAAGAAGACCCCTCTTTTATTTTTCATAGCAACATATTCTTACTTCCCTTTGTGGGAACTTTTCTTTTTGCTTTTTTTCTTGAAATGTTTTTTACCCATATGTTCTTCTTGTATTTCTTTCTCCTTCAACGTTTCAATCTTATTTCCAAAGAACAAGCATCATAAGGCTGTTAAACGTAAGTATGCCTTCTTTCCCCTTCCTAGGGCATGTTGCATTGCACAAAATAGAAGTGAAAGGAAGGGAATTTGATAGGAAGAAACTTTCCGAACCGTTTACCGTTGTCCATTTTTCATTGTCTGTCCATACCGTGAAGTGGGAATCCACCTTTACACCATTTTTCTTAGTTTTCTGACAAGCTCAGCTTGTCTTTAATATGGTTTCAAACAAACAAACAAACATCGGGCTAGCAGTCTTCTTCGAACATGCAAAGAGAGTGTATAAAGAAGACCAACAGAAAGGTCTAGAAGAAGGAAAAGAAATTCCACAATTGTGTTGCACTGCAGCAAAGATTGCTTTACACTCCGAGGAAAGGTAAGGCATATTCAAGCTGGCAACAAAACTCTACAGGCTTTTTCGTACTGCAGCCCAATCTGTTGCTACAAATAAACGGTCGTTCACTCTAAATAAAAGCGTAAAAAGATATGCCAGAAACAAGACAGACGAAAAAAAATGAACAACCTAACTGACAATATTTAAGCTGGATGAATTTTGAAGATGAGAATCAATTAATTAGGATATCATCATTATTAAAATACCTTTAGTAAATGTTTAGAGGCGGATAGCATCTTTTCAGGCAAAAAGGCATTTCACAAAAATCAACCCCCCCCCCAGACTCAAAGGCTTCGGGATACCCCTGCTTTTATTCTACTCTTCGACTTCCTTGGTATAGTGTAACGAAGCATGCAACAACGAAAACAAATACAAACGATAATTCAGTTTCTCTTATTCTTCGATATTCTCTTACTTAATTTTATAACGTCTTTTGCTACCTATCCAACCTATATCTCCGCTTCAACTTCCGTCTCTTCTCTCTCGCTCACTAATCACAACAACAATACTATTCGTTCCAGTCTCTCATCACTCAAATCCTCACAATAGCAAGGACAAAGGAGATCTTTTTATTCGACATGTGCTGATAGCTGAGACGTCAGCCCTGGCCAACTATTTTTGAGAGAAACACGTGAGAAAAATTGTTCCAGTAGTCATTGAAAAGCGAAAAATGCATCGGTTTGGTTGTTCCACCCGCCTTATTGCTGTTATTATCGGTAAATGCATTTCTTAATAAATGTCATAATAAGTCATAATAAAATTGCAAGAAACACTATTGCTAAGCTTTTCTGTATCATTGTATCATGTATCAAAAAGGTCCTTATTTCATCTTGGTGAAATGCATAAACATTCGCCCGGTCTAAGCCCTAAGTTTCTTATTTGAACCTGGGTACCCATTCGTGGGTGCCTCTATTGAAAACATTTGGTCTAAGGGCGGGCATTTTTTCTGACTCAGATCTTGCTTGAGTATTGGCAATTTTCCGGTAACTAAGGTATACATTTTCCGGTAAATAAAGTACTTTCTTTTTTGATGATACATGAAGATCTTGAATATCAAGATCAAGCTCTTTTCTGATTACCATAAATCCTTGAATTGCCCTCTTCTTCAACTCAATCAAAATACTGGAAGTCAAAACTTTTAATGAGCCCTCCCCGCAAATAAGCCCTTCCTTAACATGTTAGTTTCAATACATGATTTTAGTCAATGACAATTCGCAAACTCAACAGAAAATCAAATCAAAATAAGCTAGTGTGCAAAGTAAGAGCTCAGTAGCGAAACAAATGGGGTGTAAACTGTTTCACATACAGGGTCTATGCGCACTTTTATAATTTAATTTTTTCATATATTTGTTAATTTTTGCTATTGCATTCAGCCATGTTTTCTCTATTGCAGATTTGTTTCAGTTTGATTAATGTTATGATTCATTTGCTTAACTAAATCTTAAGCTTAGGATACAAATAGTGCGATAGACAACCTCGCCATATTAACAACTTAAATGCTATATTGATTTTAAAAACTGACAAATAAGGTAAAGGAAAAGAAGTACAGATAAGTCTCGAAGAATCAACAGTCTCTACTAAAGTAAAGCATGAACACTTTTGACAATAAATATGAAAAAATAAAGTTTCAAAAATTTCTTACGACACAGTTTAAGCCTTTGAAATAAGTCGGCCACAGGCTTTCCCCCGTCATGGAATGCCTTTGCACGTCACTTTTTTTCTATTCAGGAAGACATCGTCGCTTTTTTTCTATCTGGCAGTACATATCCCTTTATGGATGGTATGGCACACCATTTATACATACTCATTCTTTGTACATAAAAACATAACAATGCAATTGCTTCTCAACGAGGGGTTAAGTAGTGAAAATGTAGAAAGTTTGCTGCCTCTTGGGTGGCGCTTAACAATCTTCCACTTCCATGACCCAGCTAATGCTTTGCGAATCGTACTACCTGTGCAGAATTTTCAAATGAAATATCATATAAAGCTAATTCATAGGACAAACACTACAAAGGTAAGTTAAACCTGTTGTCTTCAATTGTTGGCGATTCATTGCAATCGATTTCGCAGTCCTGTTATAGATTTGTTGGCACATTGTAAGTTTCAGAAAGGCAAAAAGGAAGGCGGTTTAAATTTCTAGTCTATTGACCGATTACTTCTAAATTCAAAAGCTTCGTCTTCCAAGAAGTTCAGTCGTCCCTTTTCTCCTAAATCTGAATTTTCTATGATTATTTGCAGAGTGACAGCTAATTACATTATATTCTAGCGATGTATTTTGATAAATTTTTCTAAAAAAGTAAAAAATAAACAAGATAAAGATATGTCCTGAAAGAAGTAAGAAGCTTTCAATGACGATAAAACAAAAGTAAGAAGCTTTTAATTTATTGTTAGCCCGTCGATTGCCATTTCTACATGCTTGGATTTACTTAAACTCTCCTTTTTTGTGTTGGGTAGTATTGAGTTACATTGGAACGAAGTCCATCATTACAATTGATCGACCAGGAAAACCAAGAAGAAACCACATGTCATATATCATCGAGAGCCTCGTTTTAAAGCAGAGACGCTTTCAAAGATCTATCTCTCTCTTATAAGGGTGAACAGCTGGGCTAGAAAACATAAAACAGATGGGACAAAGGCAGAGGCAACTACTGATCGCGACAAAGGTCTGACAAATGGAAAGAAAATCTAAGTGCCCTTTGTTTACATACAAGTCTTTGCTTAAAATCACGTCGGCGTGGAATCAAGCTACATCTAAGACAATTATTTTTTTCTTCCATCTTCTCAGTCATTTTGCCCTTTTCTTTGTTGTTAGTCACAGTTTGTTTTTTATTGCTTTTTTGATCGCTTCAGGGGAGATGTGCTTGATCACACCTCTTGTGGTATCTTCTTTTTGAAATTGTCTTGTTAATCGTCTAGTACTTGTTGGGGAGGTGAACCAGCATTTGGCCGAGGAACTGTTAGCTTTACGACATTTTGCATTATATGCACATTCGATGACGTTATTCTCACATCGCATAATGTATTCTGTGGTAGCAAGATAAATGTCTGATGGAAAGAAGATTTGAATGAAACGACGAAGAATGAGAAGAAGGAAACTCTGGTTTGCATGATGCCCCCCCCCCCTCACCAAAAAATAAGTAAAACACTTCTATTTTGTCAAATATGGCTGTTTTAACACTTATTTATCAGGGCTGCCCCCCTCCCCCAAACAAAAAGTTGTACCTTGGTCTTTGGATCCAATTATGATAAATAATAGTTTTAATTGAATGTTAGAAGCTCCACGAGATGAATCATAGAGAAACTATCCATTTATAGCTTTGAAGGCAGCGGCTGCAAGTTTAAAGTAGAATAATGCCGCCATTAAAAGCGAACCTCGTCAAGGTGCACTTTGCAACCAGTAACAATGTATAAATATTATCATTGACTTTTAAACATCCAACTTTTGTATTCTTAAATAACACAAGTGTTAACCCTGCAAAAGATTGATAGTTTACACGCCAAATTGGTATAACAATAACATAAACAGATAAAAATTTACTAAAACTTAATGAGTTCAAGGGTTTGTTGCAGCAGCAGAAAATGTACCGGCGGCATACTTTTGGAATTTAGAAATTTAGAAATGTCTCACAGGTTAATCCAGATGTACCAAGGCACCTTAGAGGCAGGTTTACAGACTTCGCTCTTTGAAGAAAATAGATGATCTTTGATAAGTGGCTGGTACTTATCATGCTTTCCTAAAGAGTTGAGGTTCATGTAAAGCTCATACCTCACGGTAAAGTCAAGAATGTAAATCACGTTATCATAAGGATATGAGATAAGATCTATTCTCAGATTATCTCCCGTAATGCTACAGGGAAAACTAAAGCAACAGTAAACCAGGAGGTCCCATGGTAGACTTAAGCCTTGGCAAAACGACTAAACATTTCACTTAACATTTCACTCAACTTTTGTGTCACGTTCGGCTTTTTGGGTCACGTAGAGACAGGAAAACCTACGAAAACCTTTGGATTTCCACAGCTAGTGCGCTTGCGCGATCACAACAAATGTTTAATTAGTGGCAAAATGATTAAACATTTGCTAAACAACACTAAACAACGCTAAACATTTTTGACCAGGATCAAACTTTGCTCAACAGCACTCAACACGACTAAACAACACTAAACAGGGTGGCAAAACGACTAAACATTTCACTAAACTTTTGACTAAACAAATTTTAGCATAGTGTTGTGTGTCTATGTGTTGTGGCATTCTTTTAGATAGGAACTTAGGAGAAAGAAAGGGCAATTTGAACTGATTTTCCCATATATGTTTTCTTTTTTACACTATTCATAGTTCAAGAAAGAAGCAGATCATCGGAAATATAGATGCAAAATGGTGGAGGCTTCTCGGATAGAGAATATACCATTAGAAACTTTCTGGGATGAACGAAACACGAAACAAGGCAACGAGCAGGAAACCTGCGGAGGTGAAAATGAGGTTGAAGGAATCAACGATTCGGAGGAGAAAAATGACTTTGTACCGAAACTTTACACAAGAAGATGGCTCATTTTGGCAGGGTATTGTCTGCTTGCAATGTCCAATTTGTCAGCATGGTTTGCGTTTTCATCAATCAGTAACATAATCAGGAAATACTACAAAATCAATTTGGTCACTGTAAACTGGCTGGCGATGACGTTTTCGATTCTGCCACTGCTCCTGATGTTTCCATCGAATAAGCTTTTGGAAAGACAAGGCCTTGGGTTCACCATAGTAGTAGCAAGCTTCTTTAATGCGGCTGGATGCTGCGTTAGATACATTGGCTATTCGACTTCAAATGGTTATAATTTTTTGCTGATTGGTAAGTGGAATAAAAATTCACAGCGATGAAACATTACAAATTTTCAAGTCAGACTTCACATCACACAGCTCGAACAACAAACATACCAAATTCCAAACAATAAAAAATTTTGAAAATTTCCTAAAATTGAAATCTTCTATATGTTTGATAAGATTTTGTACTGAAAGTTTTTTAGTATGAAGTTTCTTAAATTTGTGGCTATCAAAGAATTAGAGCAGTGTTGAAGTTAATTAAAATAAGATTTTGATGTTCAAGGGCAGCCTAAAAACAGCAGACATTTGATATTTTATCAACAAAGAACCACTAATTTAACTTTAGTCGATGGCATCATGGTTAGCTTCAGATTAAAAAAGGCGAACCTTGTCTTGTGGTAGGACAGATAGGGATTTTCTGATTGTTGCAGCGCATATACTAACATGAAAGCAATTACCAACCAAACAAAGAAGTAAGAGTGCTTGACCAAAAAAAATTTTATCTTTTTTGGTCCTGAATTTTCGATTCTAAATGTTTTGTTGCTTTTCTAATCAGCAAGCTATCTTATCTGATTGTTATGGAAAATAGACAGCGAAATCTCATTTTGGTAAATTACAAAAATACCCTAGAGTGATGCTTGTTACATAAGTGTCTCAGATGAATAATAATGAACAGTTCCTATCTCAGACCTATTTTACGATACAATTTGCGATTTACAGCTTAGAACTCTGCTTCACCCATAATTAAAACAACAAATCCAGGTCCAATCAATTTTAGGACCGGCTAGTTAATAATCAATTCACAGTATATGAAAATTAAGATTTTAAGTAAGTTTGTAATTTCAGCTTATCTGCATCGAGACACCTGATGCGAGAGCAATGCTAATGGTGCACAGAGCAATTGTTGACAATTTACCATTATCTCATTGGTCAGAACTAGAGAAGGTGCCTGCCAATATAACCAATAAAAGACTTGCAGCTCATGCTTATATCAATTAAGAAAATCATATCTCGCATTAGTCGCAAACTGGCTGTTTGCAGCCAATTTGACCTACTGGAAGCCTCTGAATTTAATACAATTTGAAATACTATGGAAGCAGCAATACAGAGATTGCTCTCCCCTCTTTTATCCTAAAACTCTCACGACCTTAAGCCTCAAAAACTAATGATGTGATGCATATAACTTAATTTTCTTTCACTACAGGTAGCATCTTGTGTGCAGTTTCAACTTCATCCTACTTTCTGCCTTCAAAAATCGCGGCTGTATGGTTTGGGGAAAAAGAAAAGGCGACTGCAACATCCATAGCGGTGTCTTTTGGTCTCGCTGGCATTTCTCTTGGTTACTTTCTGCCAACATCAATTGTAAAAAACCGACCGACAGTAGCAGGGATAGGCAGGGATCTTGGCAATTACTTATTGGCAACAGCAGTTCAAGCCTGTCTAACATTTATTTTAATAGTCATGACTGCAAAAGACAACCCCAAAACTCCACCAACTTACCACGAATTGTTAAAATATAAAATGACAGAAAAAGCAAAGAAAGACAGTCTTGCAAGAAAAAGGATTGAAACAGTGGTGCTAGAGAAAAAGGAACCTTGTGGAGAAGGAACTTCTTTTATTAGATCGCCATCTACTACAATATTCAACAACAAAACAAGAAAAGGTCACAATGGCTATAAAGCGCTATTAAAAAATATAAAATTTCACAAAATTTTGCATCTGCACGGTATCATATTCGGTTTGGAGTCCTTATTTCTCATGACCTTGAACGAAATGCTGATCCCTCGATTTCCTGGTTACGAATTCAAGATAGGTTTGATGGGCTCCATTGGTCCAATTTTTAGCTTGCTTAGCAGTTTTTCGATTGGTGTACTTATAGACCGAACACATGCTTTTAAGCGCATATCGATCGCAACGACTGCATTAACGTCTTTGTTAGCTGGAGTATTGACCTTATGTTATTACTTAAAGTTTTCTTTTTACACTTTATTTTTTACTTACATTGCTATTTCCGTCGTCTCTTCGACGTACTACACGACTGCGTTTCATCATTGCGCTGTGCTGACATACCCAATATCGGAAGCACGATCTGGCGTTCTTCTCATATGGGTGGCTCAGCTTTACAATATAATTTTTGCAAGAATAGCTAGTTTTATATTATTTCGTATCAGTGCTCAGGTACTGCTCATTACAACCTTGTGTCTTTATTCTTTGACTTTTTTCATTTCGTTAATATTAGATGACAAACAGCGATGAAAATTTGCACTACCGTGTATATGTTTTAAAGTGTTACTCAATAAAACTTAGACAATGTGGATCTTTTGTACTCAATACAAGTTTCAATCTTCACAAAGACAAGATTATGAAATGCCGGCTTATTTTTCATTTTAGTCCCCACAAAGATGAGGTCTAGTTTTTTGGTACCACAGAATTGTGCGAGCTTCTTTCAAATTTCAAATGCAATGATTATTAATCTCAATTAGCATGAAGGTATCATTTGTAAAATTCAGATAACATGATCTAACTTTCAAATGAAATTTTCCTACCAAACACATCCAACGATGCTAAAGAGACACATCTACTCGACCACATCTTGAAACAAACCAGACAAACGACTCAACTGGCAAAACCTTAGTGTCAATTTCAGACATTTAAGAATATGGTTTGTATGACAGAAAAACCTTCAATGTCTGAGATATTTCTATGATCTAAAAAAATCCTTTCATGAAGCTTGTAATTTGGAGCGAGAGCAGATGGCGATAAGTTGAAAAAAGAAAAAAGACGAGCACATAAAGGCACAGAAGAATCACGTTTCTTAAGGTATATTCAGATGGTCTTATACTAGGTTTCGTCTAAAATGAGGATTTTAACAATGAACTGTTTTTTATAGTGGTGCCTTTCTAAAAAGGTTCATATGACAATGCAATTTAGAATAAAAACCTTCTCAGGGCAAGATAAGATCTTATAAAGGAGTGGTTTTCCAAAGAAAGACAGCCCAAAGGGTTTTAACACTTAGCTACTACTTTACGGGAATTCACTGTAGGGGAAATATTTTTGGACTGCTGTAAACTCCTTTGTGTTAGTAACCTGAGCAGAGAAATTTTAAATATCGATTTAGATATTTGCATTAGCATACATCTTATCATTTTTACATAAACGTCAGTTTCTAGGCAACTATCGATAAGGGATCCGCTATTTAATTTTACCTCTTGCATCTCTTAAAGGTTGCAACAACATTCAAAATATAAGAGATAAGAGTAGTTTGTCGCGAATACAGTAATGTAAAGAGCAGCCGAATTCTACGATGCACCTGGCTATGCAAAACAACTATATTGGAAATATGAAGCATACATGCTAAAGAGCACACCCGAAGGACATTTGTCCATCAGTCTTGTAGAAACAAATTACTTGCTTTCCATTGCTTTCCAGACTCCTTAATTGCGTCATTGCTTTCCAGACTCCTTAATTAAAAACCCTTCACTTTATTTTGAATCACTTATTAACAACTGCTTTCATCGTATAATTTACATTTAATAATCAATACTATAGATACATGATACCAGAAACAAAGACGGGCTCGAAGTTACACCACTGAATTGTTTTACTTAAGAAAGAGGTTTAATATTTTATCAAATTAAAAATTTAGGATACTTAAAATCATAGCTCTTCACAATTCTTTTACAACATGGGTTATTTTAAATGAAAATTATATACAACAGTTAATGAAAATTTAAAGACCCTATAAAATATTATTATAGAGGACAGGTTGAACTATTAACACACACGACAACAGAGTTGAGCTTGCTGAAATGGCCGTTAGTAAAGCTGATAAGCAAAATACAATAACTTAAAGAACATAAGTATTATACACAAAGATTTTGTGCTATCTAAAATTTTGTAGTACGAAAGAGAATTGCTTATGACAGATTACAATTTCTTACTTCTTATAATTAGCGGTACGTAGCAAAGACGGGCAGGACTTCCACGTTCTTAGAAAAAGTACCAAAGCTACAGTACCACGCATTTAGTTGCCGGCAGAACTACCAGTTTCAGATTGAGGGTCTAGCTGAAATTAGGACTTGGGATGAAAACGAGGCGCATTCAGAAGCTCTGATTGGTACGCGAGAAAACTAGAAAATGCGATGACGCCGTGCTTGATTTCCGCATGTCACTGCCACCACATTGTCTTTACACTCCTACCGTTCAAGAACCAGCACTCTTTGAAAGGTTCAGGCTGTCAATTCAACAGCTATGGGAAAGAGGCTCGTCTCTGCATAGTACCATCTGCTGCCTCCACAGAGGAATCCGGCAATGCCAAACATAACAAATTTTGCATACCCTGGCAACCGAGAAATTCTCCGAGTAACATCGAGCGTCGTTAAATAAAAACTAAATGAAGCACATTTCAAAACAATTTGTCTTTAAGTGTTGATATGTAAAAAGGGTCATATAACTCACAACCTAGTTGAGCAGAGCTTCTTTTTCTTCCGGTGAATCCATTGAATGTAAAAGCTCTTCAGCGTGATTTACAACCTCTTGCAATTCGCCAGCGCTAAGTTCTTCAAGTAACATTTTGACAGCAGATAGAACTCTTGAGCTTTTATTCTACAAATTAAACCGAGGATAGTCTAAGAGTTTTAAAGAAAAAGTCTGCTTTATTCAACCAGAAAGAGTAGAAACTTGTTGATTCCTTAAAAGATGGGATACGAAGAACCACTAATAAAAAAATACGAGCATTGAATCTTCAAAAGGAGATGGATTTGATACGACAGCCAAAAAGGGAAAAAATAGTGAAGTATATCAAACACTAAGCATCATATAGGTTACTAGCGATTAAAACAATTAATCAAAAAAATAAAATAATGCTAATAAAATAAATACAATATTTACAGTAAGAAACTTTAACAACTAATATTCGGGCATCTTGAAACTTTGACGCTACAAGAGGACAGTGTTTTAATAAATGGTTTTTCTAAGCAAAATCAAAATGAATTGAGATGTTTACTCGATTTAATAAATGGGAATAAGATGAACAGGTGGATCAAAAAAATTTCCTTGAAGATAAACATGGAACATTGTAACATGAACAAAACGTACAAGGTGAGAAACAGATTGTTTGTTTGTTTTATTTACACAGGAATGCTTCAGCAATTATAGACAGCGAAGATTGATGCTAACTGACAAAGACAACTGTAAAATGAATGTACTCTTTTCTTTACTTTGAGGTTAATCCAATGGAAATCTTAAACCCTGCTCTGTTTCATGAGCAGGGAATTTCATAATTAGCAGGCTATGGGAAAGAGCAGTTTAAGCTTAGCCAAAAGCTTATGACTAGCTTCGGTTAGTTCCAGACCGTATTTTCGCAAAAAAGAAAGCTGTCACGCTACAAAATTTATGCCTTTTTACACCATTCCGACCAGAATTAGTATCCCCCGGTAGAAAAAGCGTCATTGTGCAAAATGACATAATTGCTACCAAAAATAAAAATGTTCAAAAAATAATTACAGGAGAATGCGTTGTCGTTGATCCTGTTAACTTCACATCAGCCTTGGTGTGTTGTGTGCTATCATACTCGATACCAAGGGGCTTTAAACCAAGTTTTGCTCGTTTTTCACTGTTAAGAAGAGAACATACAACATTCAGAATGACCAATATCAACAAATCAAACCACATAATCACGATAAAGTTTCTATCAATTAAGGTAGCATGCACTTAATAACATTGAGACCTTCAACTCAACTCTTTAAAAGAAACCCCAATCATTTCCGTGAACAAATTCTAACACAAAATCGCCAGAGATGTATTAGCAAAATTAACAGTTAAAATGAATTGAATGGATATCTATGGTATGAAGTGCTATGGCTGTTTTAAGTCTAATTTTGGTGCTAGAGATAAATATCATAACTATCTGACAGGAATCAATTGGAAAACAGCGAAGCTCTTAAAATTGAATAAAGCAACATTGTTCAAGAGTGAAGTGGGCAATCTATTGCCATTATGCAAAATGTACAAAGACATTTGACATGGATACTTACTTTATAGTTACAAGGTCGACTTTTCTACTGCTAGATACTGTATCATCTATCTTGCCTGAAATGCTTCCATCAAACGTACCTACAGAAACATTGACCATAAACACTTTACAACATAAGGTAGAGATAGGTAACTCTTCAGATATTTAAGTTTATATAGAAACAATAAGGAACGTTTTTTTCTGGCTGGGTCCAAAACTAAAAAACTGTCAATACTGCCAGTCTAAAAAACTGTTTTTGAGAACAGATTTCCATTCGTCAATACAAAAATTGGCAAAAGCTCATACCAATTTTCTGTTGATAATGTAATGCTTCTATTTCTTAAGCAAGTCAAGTGAGAGGCCTATACGACAGAGAATAAAATTCTGTGTATTCAAGGAGCCCTTAACCCATAATCATACAAAAACTAATAATAGTCGAAAAATTCATCAAAGAAAAGCAAGTGTTTTTACAAAGGATCTTATGAAAGTAAAAATTTAACCAAATTCAAAATGGAGGCAGATAACATCACTTACTTGTTTTCAAAAATCTAGCAAGATCATCTTCTTGCAGTGTCTATAACGAAATTGGTTGTTAAAGTTCTTGCTAGTAAACAACAAAACATTTTTAGCAAAGAATGAACTCAAATTCATAACAGAATTCAAAACTTTGCCTTCCCCGTGGTTAAGATGCTAATAAGGTCACAATGAATGTGATCTTGCATAACCAAACAAACTGCAAATCTCAAAGACACAGCACAGCACTACTCCATACAAAAAAACAGCTCAAAATGGGAAAAAATTTTGAAAGACATTTGACGAGCAATTACACTCAGAAATTTTTAACAAATTTTCAATCACAAAAGAACATACATTAAGCATAGTTTCAGGAAAGACTTTCTGATCAAATTTTTTTAAAGAATTAACAATTGTGCGAACTTTTATGGGTATTTTAAACTCACTTATTCATAAAATAAACTGTAATAAGAACTTATGTCAACAAGTTCATGTAGAGTAAAGCTTACCAAGGATAGATCTATTCCACTAAAATCAGGTAAGTCAGATGGACAAACTTCAAGCTCTTCACCTTCCTTTTCAGCAAGATCTCTCTCATTTTCATCTATTTCTATAGAATAAAGCAAACCAGAAATATACAAAAAAATGCAGCATGAAAATTGTTAAGCTCCTTACAATAAATTAGTTATAATGGGAGTTAAAAAAGGCAGTACATTAGACTTCAAATTTGACACCGGATATTAAAAAATTATATCTTATAACAGCCCCCTTCCTTCCTCAGATACTCAGGCCATAACATATGCATGTACAGCCTTTTTATCCCTTGCAGTATTCCAGCAACAAAAACAGTCAGCATTACTGCATATCTTTATCTTTCTTTCCTCTTCTTTTTACAAAATATGTGTATCAGGGTGGGTTATTTGGCCACACAGTACAGCTGACTGGGGTTCTTTTCATGATGTCTTTTGTGGATAGCCAAGCTTTTGTTCCACTTTCTGGTCTTAGAATCCTATCTGAAAGCAGCTTCAAAGAATATCTTTAAACAAAACTGGAAGATGTCTAATTCATCTGTTTATCTAAAAATGAAGGATGCCAGCAGCATTCTTGACTTAATAGAGGATTAATTACACAATAAACTTGATGAAAATAATATACAAAATGGGTAAATTTACAAAATAGCAGTTATCAAAGTCCTGCAAGACAATCACATTTTACTAAATTTTGCAAAGGGTTGTATGTACACCTTAAGAAAAATAAATGATTGATATTTTACCTTGATTGTCTAGTTTTGTAAGGTTGGGTATATTTCTGATAACTGTGGATCTATAACATTTTACATCAGTGCATGGATTTTCTGATAGCCATAAAACTTTCAGCTGAGGCAGGTGTTTTAAATATATTAGCTCACTGATGTCAGATAAATTATTCTTGCGAAGATATATTTCTTTTAGTTTTGGACCTGAAATAAATAAGAGGTTTAACGATTGGGTGTTACAATGAATTGGCTAAAGAAATGTTTACCATGCTTTAAAAAGCAACCAACTTACAAATCCTGAAATGTTTGCAGAGCTATATAATGTAAATATTATGTAAAAAAGTAAAAAGCGGAATTGGGTACACCCAAACCACTAAGGATTAATCAAAAAAATAACCAATATTGCAGTCATTTTATAAACAAGAAGTTGAAGAGCATGACAATTCCAGCTGCTTTGCTGCAAAATCCTTAATCAATTCAACTTCTTATGAGTTGAAAAGAAAATGTACAATAATGATAAATGTCTCACAATATTTCAAGTCATTCAGGGTTGAAATTTGATTGACGCTAAAAAGAAAAGAAAACTTTGATCAATAAAAATGTGATTTTCTAATAGCAAGTTAACTCTCTAAGCAGAAAATTTTCATCCTAATAGCAGATAAATTTCAACATTTCATTGTTATTTAGAAAAAGATAACAATCACTAGAAATAACAGCAAGTTTTAAGCTGTCCACAATTAGATAGGAATGGAAAATTTCAAGCTTAAGATAATGCTAAGAATATTAAGCTTATAATAAATGAAGCCCTTTACCTTAGACTTAAAACTTCAAGATTTGGTAATTGTCGAAGGATTGATACCTACAATCAAAGCCATTCATCATGAACATAAGATGTGTAATAGAATAATAATATGCTTTTTATCATTGATGTAGAACCAGTCATAAAAAACAATGTGAAAAGAAGACTGCATATATGCATATATGTTCACTGAAAAGAAATAGAGAATAATAATATTGAAGCCCTTGTCTTGCTTCATCCGTGTAACAATGGACAACTTATTTTTATATTTTTGAATAATCAAATATAAAATTGAACAAATTTATACAGCTTTAATAAATTAAAATTACTATAAAAATCTAAATTTTATGAAATACATAATAAAAATGTGGCTATCTGCATTGGTAAGAGGAGACATGAAGTTTAAAATTTGATGATACATTTATAATTGTTTCTTGTCTGCTTTGTTTAAAAACTTGGACTTACATCATCAAGGTCACTCCCCCTGTAAACGAAAAAAAGCTGGCTACAAATGCAGTCCTTAAATATTTTAATGACAGAAATGAAAGGTTACAGAATAAAATTTAACAAAATTATAAACAGAAAAAATACAAGACTAGACTAAATTTATGTGCAAGTGTATCTAAATGAAAGGTGTTAAGGCAAGAAGAGCTTTTTTTGCCATAATTTTGTACCAGGTGTACCAACCCAAATCATATATGGGCTTCTTTCAAAACGCCCTAGGCTTACTTGTAAGTAAGTCATAGCTAGACCTCAAAGGAGGAGTAATGACACATCAATGATAGGAAGCTAATTTTATGGAAATCACTTGTGTTTTTAAATGGAGAATGGAAGCAGGTCCAATGCAAAACAATTGCCAACCAAAAGTCAAATTATTTAGAACGGATGAAGCAATGTATTCTTATGGAATTCCGTACATGGCCATACAAGCTGAAAATTTAGTTCCTTATATACCTCTCCATCAATTAATCTCTAGGTCTTGGAGGACAATTTGGATCATGTTTTTAATGTTCTTCATATGAAGGTAAACATTTGCAATGATGTTCAAATCTAGACTGTTGCAGCCATGGCAAAAATTTATTTTGCTTGGCAATAAATTTTGATAAAAGTTGGTCTATGTTGTAGTGCATTATCTTGCTTGAGGATGAATGGCTTATAGCTTCAACACTTGGAAAAAGTTTATCTTGAAGCAAGGAGACATGTTCTCAGAGTCAAGTCATTGGTGACAAATAATTAGCCGCCAAACACCCTGAGGCCAAATTCACCAACAGAACATTAGGGGAATTGCATCATTGAAAGCAGCTTTGTAAAACAATTGGTTGTGCATTTCTTCCATTGAACGTTAAACTTTGAACATTTTACAGTTTATGTTGTAAAGTCCAGATCTGCATTCATCGGAGAAAACAACATTGTCTTATTCCCACAGAGCCCAGTCTCAAGGAACTTGGACGAGCTGATCTGGACTTTTGTGCCTCCGTGATTTTTGATGAAACAAATTGTTTCAACTTTATCAGGAAACTTATTATCTTAGATTTTTGTAAAACCCTTCTTATAATTTGTCTCCCAAGCATTTTAAGCTGCCAAACTTTGCTCAAGTTTTGTATCGTTTAGTGGCCCAAACTTAACTGCCTTGCAGTGTGACAGTGAGATTTTCAAACTTTTCCGATCAAAATTTGCTATAAAATGGGCAACCTTAAAGGCATCTGACGCAGGTAAAAGTGGCTTACAGCCACTCGACCACGAGCAGTTGACCAATCAAATTGCGCACAGAGAAAAACACATGAACAAGTTCCGCCTTTCTGCAAATCGGTAAAATCCTAGAGCAGCGCGCAGTGGTTTCGTGTGTGCTGTTTTCAATTCCTTTCCTGTGGGCATGCTCTCATCAATTTGGCCTAAGTTATTTTTCGCTGTACTTATGCATGTCAAATGCTTTTAAAAAAGCTAATACCTTCCTATACATAAATATCATCATTTAAAATATTTATGATAGGTCAACCACCAGGCCGAACCAATCTTTAAAATTGCAATGCAAATAGCGTTTTTACAGTTGAAGTGCCTCTAGTTTTTATCCATGATTTTCCGTAACGCCTCTACTTTTTTGTGTTAACCTTGTCAATTTGCAAGGTCTCAAGTGGGGATGTATTTGCACTGCTTGAATTTCAATAGACATGAAAACAAGTTTCTTGTATTGCGGGCTTCTTTGTTCAAAATAATATGCTTCAAATCTTAATACTTGCATCGAAATATTGAAATAGGGTATTTTTTTACAACTTCTAAAGCAATGTTCATTATTATTTGCGTAAGTGTCAAATGAGGCAATACTCTCTTACCAGCAGTTTAGATTCTTTACACTTCTCAGTGAAGAGGCTCTAGAACTCGTAAGAACTCTTTCCTCGGTTAACTTGACCATTTTTGCAATCTAACCACGAATTTTGGTACCCAACTTCCCGCCCAAATTACAGCTAACTCTTAAAAACAGTAGGAATGTTTGCCTCTGCTTGGCCTCGAGGTTAAGATATGGTTTGCCAGAGATTTACCAGAGGGGATTCCTTGCATATCCACGTGTATGAGCTTCTTAAACCACCTGTAAATCTTTCAAAACAGCAACGCATTACTTGCTTTAAGCGATTTTTCAATAGTGACGACTTTTTGCTTTCACACAGCATTTAAAACTGAGGCTGTTGTTGTAAAACAAAATCATGATGGTGTCTATCGGACGGACTTGATATCAAGAACTTTACGAGGCGTAATTGATGGAAAATGACAATACAACATGCAACTATCTGAAAAACCTGTTAAAAGCTGATTTCAAAAAGACATAGAGGAGAATATCAACAGATAAAGATCAACAAAGGTCACAGAAGTGACAAGAAACCTCGTGTTATGGTATGGTTGTGATTCAAAGCTATTAAAAGCATCAGACTGAAATCATATAGTAATCACCGGATTTTCAAGATGTCTGTCTCTTTTACTAACATGGCCAGGGACCTCGGACAGCTACGACCAAAGTCTTTACTGCCGATCATTCTTGGGATTACCATCGGCTTTGCCCTATCAATGGTTTATATACCAGTGGTAGAACAGCTTTGCCTAACAGACATTGAAATGTCAAGTGTTATAAAGAAGGCATTAACAAAGAATTCACTAAATTTCCAGAAGGAGCCAAAAAAGCCGCCAGCCAACATTCAAGCAGGCCCTAGCCCAACACCGGTAACTCCAAAGAAAAGTAAATTTAATTACGATTTTAGGCCGTATTTTGTCTATAGCGAGCTAGGGTTTAGATTCAAGTTACTTGTAGCTGTTCTGACGTCTGAGAAGAGGCTGGACGAATTCGCTGTTGCAATTAACAATACGTGGGCACAAAGTCTACCAAAAGTCGTATTTTTTACTCCATACTCAAAAAATATAAACTTTCATGAAAAGTACAATCGCCACTTGAGTTTGAAAGTTGTGCAGCTGCCTGATGTGGACGAGGAATCAACAAAAGTCGACCTTTTATACAAAATGTTACAACATCTCAAGGATCACTACGCTTCAAATTACAATTTATTCATGAAAATTGATGACGATGCATACATAAATCCACGTAACTTGTTAACCTTAGTCAACAACTTGAATTCTTCAGAAGATCTGTATATCGGTCACGCTAAGGAATTCAGAGGGACTTACACGCTCGAACGGAGTGGGAAATGGAAAGACTGGACTGGTGACTATTATTGTTATGGAAATTCTGGAATCATATTCAGTAGAAGTTCTCTTATCAAGTTAGTGACAAAAATGAATGTTTGTTCCTCTAGAAGGTATAAGAATGCAAATCATGAATTGGAACACTGCGTTAGAAAAAGTCTTTCAATCAGCTGTAAGCTGAGAAACGAGGTAAGCATTTCAATTACGAAAGTAACATAATTGATTTTAGCATAATAAGCTCTGAGAAAGCACTTTATCGTCAATGCTTTGCTTCCAGCACCGCTTAATATGGGCAATGCATATTTCGGAAAGAAGCAACTTGTTTTGCTGATTTATTGGCTAACCGTTTGACAACATCCTTATGACATGCAATTAACTAAATGGTTAAATCAACCTCTTCTTGAAACTGAAGCTGCCGAATACTTGAATATCGAATTCGATTTTAACATTCTAAACTTTCCAAACACTCCTCTTAAGGTTTAAGCTATTAAAGAAACAAAAAAACTCAAGCCAAAAACTCAAAATTTAAACTCAAAAATTATAGATTTCCACTTGGATTTCTTTGCACGTGGTGTAAAAGAAAAACGAACCTCTTTCTGTGCTTCTACTGCTCTACCAAGGAAGTTTAATATAGAATATGTATTTCAAAAAATTTTGCCTAGGTTCAACGTGCCATCCAGGTGAACCCAAATGAAATGGCATTCACAGTGCAACAAGTTAGTGAGAGCAATAATCTTAGGAACGCTGCAGTGCTTTATCCGATTCACTCTGGCAAGCAATTAATACAACTGCACAAGTTCTTCACCGTATCACAAGTGCGAGAAACGTTTGCAGACATTCGTCGACGTCAGAACGAGATACAAAAAACTGTGCCCTACATTCCTAAAGGTAAGGTACACTTTTTATGTAGATTCAGACTGGATGATTTGACCAATCAGCGCAAAGATGTTCTTCCAGCTCTGTAGCAAGTGATCAGCATCATGATTGCTCATAAATACCCTTCAATTGCACACATCTTAAGACGCAATGAATTGGAAACTTTCATTTCATTCAAAGGAGACCTGCAAGAGTGATGAAAAAAGGCCGTTTTCCGGAATCTTAACATGGCATTTTACTTTTGAGCTATTACTCCTTCAACAGCTTCAAATTCTTACTACATAATTCCGAGTCATATAATGATCAAACATCAAGATGGAGGTTAGCTTTCTGAGAGACAATCTATCTTGCCCAAGGCATCTTACTTCTTTGATCAAATATGGTCCCTACATAAGATCTAAGCAAGATATGACATTATATAAACAAAAACGATTTTCTGCATTAAGATAAATACAAGAAATAAGACGTGGCTTTACCATTAAAAAGTCTTTTATAATCATATGCACCCTCGTGTGTCTGTATTTTAGGTGTCCCTGAGAAGATTTTAAGATGGCCTGTTGGCTTTATCGATCCATTTAAACCAAACAGTCGATTTGAAGTAAATCATTGGCGCTACTTTGACAATGACAGAATGTTCGGTGATATTGATTCAGAGCCAGTGACTCAATTGACAGAAGCTGAAAATATGGACCTAGATGAGGTACAGAAAACTGCGTTGTCAGCACTGAAGAAAGAAGATAAGGAATTGAAAGATAGTGACGTAACGTTACGAACTGGTTTCAAACGACACGATCCTAAACGAGGTTGGTCCTATCACAGAATATAATGTGCAATGTGAAAATAACGCCATCGATTTTGATATCGTCATCGAAAATTAGGTCTCCCCAACAAGATATGATAAACCATTATTGAAAAGTAAACCATTACAATGATATTGCATATCTCGAAAATAGTCTGACCAGGGATAATTGTTGAGTAGAAAAGCAGGTTTTATCAAAATCAAGCAGTAAAACACAGGGTTTATCTTGTTTTTGTCATGAGCAGTACGAAGCAATAACCTTGATAATTCATTTTTCTTATGATATTTGTGTAGACCATTAGCACAGGTGCTAATTTGATTTACAAGAATTCAAAAACTTGAGCAGTTAAACCAAGAGAAGTAGTGGGGACTCTTTCCATTTTCCATAGGATCGGAGTACGTCCTCGATTTTTCCGTACATAAAATTGGTTCTTCGACTTCAAACAGAAGAGTGCATTTACTGCGTCCATTTACAAAGGTAGAAGCATTGTCTGTGCCACCAGCCACTGAGCAAAGAGGCATACACCTTGTGCTGCCAGTTAAGAGGTAATAAACGGTGTTTCTGAATAACTAGCTTTGTATTATGTATAATGTGCTACTTACATGGCTAGTTGAAAAATATATTGTCGTCTATCAAAAACTTGATGGATGGCTTCTTCAAAGCCAGTGACCTTCTAAATGTTTGAAAATAGCATGCAAAAATTAAGTAAGACGGATGATTCAAACTTGTGCCATTGGGTTCATGTTTTAAAAAGTATATGTGCATTTAGAAAATCAGAACATTTTCAATAAAACTTCTGAAAAATGCTGTGTTAGTAAGATACATCGAAATCTGAAGATCTTCTAATCTTTCGATTTCTAGTGCCTTTGTTAATTTAAATACGAAACAAAAGATACATAAATCAATATGTAGTTTTCATTTTCATTACCAAATTCGGCCTCAAATAGTGAACCGTTAAACAATATGGCAACCATACCAGTGCTACTAAGCTGAATAAATAGAAATGATATGCAAATTATTGCAGAGGATATTCATATCAATAGCTTATGACCGAGCGTCAATAAGTAAAACCAGTATTCATGGAAACAAAGAAACTAAGCTAATTTGGTTTTAGCTTTTCTGTCAAGATTTATTAAAACAGTTTCCCTTTGCCATGGTAACGCAAAACCAAACACTGTTTCTGCTACAGAAGTTCTCGATTTTTTTTCTGTTGAGTTGAATTGTTGGGGCTACTATAGTTTTTTTGCGTGTTCTTCTCGTGTCATTTGGGATCTTAATGAGATTTTATAGGCTAAAGGTCGCCCTTTCTTTCCTAAAAACTAACTAAACGTGTTGTCAAAACCATTAAAGGTAATGTGTCCATATAGAAGGACTGCGTATACCCAACTTGTCAAGCCACCCATCAAATAACGGTTTGCGATTGGTTAGTATTCTTGCGATGCAAAACTGCTCACATGAAAGGCTAACCTCGCAGCAGGATAAATAAACAGAACGACCGTAATGACTGGGGCGATGACATGAAAAATCACATGTTTCTAAAAACCCCCGCAGACTCGCTTGCTATAGCTGGACACATTACCTTTAATCTTTGCATCATATAAAAAACTTGACTTGACTTGAGACTTGAGTCAACGTTTTTATTAGCATTTTCAAATTTTATCCACTTACAGTGCGAAGATTAGCTTGTTTAGAATTATAAACTTGAAAAAGATTGGTTTCTAAATTTTGGAATCTTCTGTATCTACAGACACGATATTCCAACATTTGAAAGATTCTTACAAATGTACAAACGTGTCTGCCTTCAAACTGGAGAAAACGTCGTTCTTCTCACTGTTTTTGTTAACATACGGAAAGCCGGCGATGAAGAATTTGCAAAGGATGACCCATTCAAAGATCCCAAGAGCCTAATTGCAAGGTTGGTATCCTATGAGTCATTAAAGAGTGCCAAATTTTGCAGTGCATTTCCTGGATTTATTGATATCAGATTTGTATCTCTACATGTCAATTCCTTCTACTTACTCAGTCGCATCAAAGGTTGTTCAGTTAACAACCAAGATTTATTAAATGTTTTATCAATTACAAGATTTATTAACAAGCAAGTTATACTAATAAATGTACCCGTTGTTTGTACTGTTCGCATTACAAGAAGAATTGGCATTTGCGTTAGGTCTTTGAAGTCAGAATTTTATATCTTGACATATATTTGGTTTGCTTTTAGATACAAGCGATCATACATGTGGGCACAGTTACCATGGCTACAAATAGGAGTCAAACAGGCCTCGCCAACACTGATCATGGATATTGTATCGATGAAACTAGCATCCAGTGCTCTTATTTTCCTTGTCAGCCTCGACATAGATTTTACAATTAACTTCTTAAATCGTTGTAGAGTCAATGCAATCAATGGTGTCCAGGTATTTAGAGGTTTTTCTACTTTTCCAAAACATACTTTATTTATAGTGTGTAATTTCATATGCACCAAATCTAAATAGATAAAAATTGCAGAAAAATTAAAACTGTTTTTTCCTGCATCCCCAATTTCATTCTTTATTACTAATTTATTTTCAATGGTGCGCTTTGTTTACATATTCTTTGTTGAATCATGCAAGTAGTTTGGCTCGACCTTGGTACGTGGCAACAAAATAGTCGAATAGAGCTCAAAAGATAAAAAATGGTCATAATAACTTGTAATGTGTGGATCCTGATTATGAATGGAATAATATTTTTTTGGATTCTTTTACTGAAAAAACACTTAATAGTAAAAGCACAAATAAAACCGGTGACTACTTTCCAATGAAATTGGTTTTCTAGTTGCTTTAATAGTTTAACATGCTGTTGGAACATTTTCAGTACTAACTCATTTCATCTTCTGGCTAGTAATCTGGAATATATTCTATTCAGTTTATATTTTGCTAAAGGGAAAGGCAAGTCAGAAAAAAGTTTCTATTCAAAGCTGCATCAGCTTCATGTTATCTACTTGTCACTAGACAATATCTTCTACAACACCATGACAAATATAAAATATTTCTGTTCTTTTCAATCGTAGACATTCTTCCCCATTCCATTCCTTGAATACGATCCTGAAATTGTTTTCAAAAACAAGCAGAAGCCTACGTTTGTTGACGTTTATAGAGACAATGGATCTTGGGATAGGGGCACAAATGACATTGGCTGCTTCTGCAACAGAGACTACAAAGACCTTAGGATGCTAGAAGACAACTTTCTTGATGAGGATCAGCCCCTGAACTCATATGTTATTAATGTGTTCCAGAGGTCAAAATTAACAGTGTTTCGAGCAGTCGATTCTGATCTGAGAAGGCGGTACACGTATTTAAATTGCACAAACGTTTTAGCTAGAGATTTTTGCCTTGAAAGAGCTGCAGAACGAAGAGCTTCAAAGTCACAGTTGGCTAAGTTTTATTTTGGAAAAGAAATGCGTATTTCGTTATAGAAAGTATTCCTATAGTTTTTTTCACTAAAGAATTGTGTAAAAACCACTTCAAAATTCACAGAATAGGAAGAAAGCTTGGCAGCAGCTTCTATTGAAGCACAGTTATTGAAAAAGCAGATTGCAATACTGGCTAATAATTTGAACAGTGAAAGAGGTCATGCAATAAGAAAGAAAAATTTTTTTAACCCCATATTTATGTCAATCGAACAGAATTATCAAGTGACGACGTCAGAAAAATCTATTTTTAGATTTTTTCTCATAACCTGAAAGAGCATCAAGAAATACCTCTAAATCTACAAAATCAATTAAAGGTATTACGAATTGGCTGAGATATGACCAGATGAGCACATGCTCTGGCCCCATCAAACCTCTGAATTTTGGTCTCAGTTAATAACTTTATGAACTGAACAAAAATAACAGTAATCCGTTAGCAAACTTCAAATCTTCTATTGGCCATAGCTCGCCCGATTTTGACAAATTTCACTGATTTTGCATATATGGGAGTTTTTCATGGTGTTTTTTATGTTATGTGGCCAAAAATCGAAAATTTTAAAAATAGTTTTTTGGTGACGTCACACATGAAAACTCTATTATAGATGGTGAAAATACAAAAATCAATTAGACAACCAAGGAGTCAGCAATCCCTTCATCAATCGTCAAAATATTGCAGTAAGTTTACGTATATTCTTCTTCCAGGCATCTGAGACCATAGGTTATTTGGTTGCCACACTTTTACCACCCAGAAAGATTACAAAAAGTTTTTTAAATCTTTTTCAAATTCTTGTAGACAGGATAAAAGCGTCCCAAAGCTCAAAAACGTTATTTGTAGAATCTCGATAGTCAACTTGTCGTCTAAAAAGCTGCTTTTATGAATATCAAGGAACTTGGTTTATGAATTTTTTTGAAAAAGAGAAAATATTCCTTAGACTGATCAGTTAGCAATGTTTTTGTAACGGTTCCATTTTCTTAGTGACATTTGTGTTAATTACTATTAAAAAATCACGCTTTATGTTCTTTACGCTTTTTCACACTTCATAATATCCTTCTTTAAACTGCAGCAAATAACATTTAATACCGTGTTTTATTGTTGAGTTTCGCTTTATATTTGAATTGTTGAAACTGCTACTGGTACTCCATTCCTTCTCCTACAACATGGTCTTTCTAAAGGAAAATCAGCTTGGTTAAAAGCCTTTGTTTATGTAAAGAAGATGAAAATAGCCTATATTTTTAAAATGGAAGGTTACTGGGACTAGAAGTGCAGTTTCCCCCTAGTTAGTATGCCAAAAAGACCAGGTCTGGTAATAAAGCTGTGAATGATTGTCTTTTTAATTCATATGATTGAGAATAACCTAAACAAGTTTTGATAGAAATGAAAGATTTTGAAACAAGCTAATGCTTTGTTAATACGAATAGCAGAATCTCCTTTAACACGAAACATTTTCTGAGATTGATAGACATTTCTGTTCCGTGGCTAAAACCAAGACAAAGGTTTATTTGAAATGGGGGAGCTGGGGGCGACTGAAGCTCCAACACTTTTTCAGAGATAAAAATTTGGACCGTCTCTTTTTTTAATTTTGAAAACAGAGCCTGAAATAAAACAAGATCAAACAGTTCATATCTTGCTTGATTATTTTATCAATTTGCTAACTTATTTAGGTATATTTTTATCATTTGTCTATTATTTGCATCGATTCAGTAGATAACTTTCTGCATCATTGTATTGTCTGCATTTTGGGTGTGTAAGCATGGTCCACTGAAAATACTGGAGATAAAGAAGCTGCATATGTTACTGTTCAAGAAGTTGAATTCTCTCAATCCATACAGTATCTTCTTGTTATTCACATCGATGTGCACTCTGAACCAAAGATCCCAATTCTTTTCTTTCTCCGACGTCTGTCATAAGAGTTTTAGCATGACTCCTCCCCTCCCAAATTTTTCTTAAATATCAACAATCAATGCCTATCTGAGAATCGTCGGATTTTCTATTCTGAGCGGTATAGAAATTTGTTAAATTTTAGTCTAGCAGATGCATTTTTAACCATTCTAGAAGACTTAATTTCAAAAATTTTCTTTCGCGTCGGATCAAATCATGGTGTCACTAAACTTGATGCTTAGCCCCCTCCCAGGTTGAATTTGGTGGTGACACCTCGTTGTTGTATCATAATTATTTAAGCTATTTTACCCATCTGCCCCGCTTGCACCAATAGCAAAAAATGGTTATCCTGAAAAAAAGAACCCCTTTATGGTTTTTTCCCGGCCCTCTTCTGGGCACCCCCTTTCTCCAAAAAAATGATCTAACAAAGGTACTGCTATGTCTTCTTTCTAGTTATGCTCGGCCTCAAACGACTAGTGGCAGGGGGCTTTAATCTTCCCTAGCTCGCCAACTTTCCAACTTGCTTCGCAGCTCCTGTGACGTTTTTCACCTTTGTTCGCGATTTCGCTGTATTGTAGAACGGCAATGGCAGCAGCAGCACCTCAAAAAATTTGCAAAATGTATTGATGTCCAGTGTTTGAAAAAATGACTTTAACTTTCTTTCTCGAAGAATCGTATTCTAATAGTGGTAACCATATGGTAGGGGTGCGGAACAACGGATTTTTTAGTAAATTTGTCACAGAAAAATGGAACTATGAAAATTTCTGGACGGAGTTCTCTACCGAGCATTTTCCCAGAACACTTTGTGGACGCAGATCGTCTCTAAAATTATATACGGGATGCGGAATATTTATTAAGTACGGATTTGTGTAATTTTTCACCCTTTTTCTTGTAAAAAGAATCTGGTCAAAAGAATCTTGGTTTTTCTGGTCAGCAGCATCTATCAACAACTTTGGAACTCGGAATTTTAATTAAAACTGACCTGGACGGTGGATTTCAATTAAAAATAGTGCGGAACGGCGAATTTTTGCTCCCCCTTGGTAACCCCCACCGTAAGACAACAATCGCTTCTGCGGGGAAGCATTCCAACTGAGTTGAGCAACAGCAACAACAGAATGGTTGCTCATCATCGAACTTGTTTACAATGCAACGTAAACAAGTACATAGCTGAAAAATAAAGGATTGCAAAAGGTGATTACAATTATCATTATTTGATTAAATCTTAGATTTTATGCGAAGTTCTGTTCTAGATTTCCCTACGAATGTTTAATGCTTTCGAAACTGATTCATTTCAAAGTTTAACCTGAATGTTTTGATGATGAAGCAACTATGTTTATTCCAAATCATGTTTGCCTGTTCAATTTTTTACTAAACACATTATTGCCTTACTTTATCTTACCCCTGGTACAATTTTATGCCAAATCTAGCATCGCTTCTGACATTTGTATTGAATATTGATCGATGCCATGCCACGCCCCTTCGCAAATGAAAAGATTTTCAAATTACAGTATTTGGAAGACAGAATATTTAAATCGGAAATATCTTGAGTTTCCAAAGACAGCACTCCAACAGAACATTTAGAAATTGCACTTTTCTTGACAATCAAACATTTCACTAATATGACTAATTACAATCATTTTCCTTTTTACCAATAGCCTGGCAATTTTACAGGTTATTATATTGAAAAAAGGAGGCACAACCCTTCAAGTCCTTTGTAATATTTGTGCTTGTAAGTTAATGTACATTTCCATTGCAAATTTTTGCACTCGTGTGTTTTTTATGAAAAGAAGGAATAATTTGAAAAAGAGATCGATAAACTAGACCATTTGATTCACACTTGAGTCAAAATTGATATTATATATGTGTCAGAACCAGCTTTTAAATGTTATATAGAAATGCTACAGATTTTTATTGGAGGGAATAATTTCTGATTTCTGTACTCAGATCACTTTCCTCAGTTGTCTTTGTCACATCAAAAAACTATTTATTCGCTTAATTCTTCTGAAATTTTTCTGATTATTGTTTAACACAACATAGTGCCCTGTTGCAAATTCTTCAGATGCCTCCACCTTCCTGTGAAACCCATTGCCAGAAAGCATTGACCTGTGAAACCCATTGCCAGTAACCAAGCTTACAACCCAATCATGTTGAAATAAATTCTTTACAGTTCTTTAGATAAGAAGTTTAGGTTTCTCTTAAGATCTCTTCCCACACAAAAAGTAGAAATGAAATTTTTTGACTCTAACTTTTTTATGTAACCTGGGGCTGTTGCTGCTTCATTGGGATCCTTCCTTTCAATCATTTTGATTGTTGCAAGCAATTCTCTTTTACCAATGTTGTCCCAGCAGATGGGTTTGCTGGTGATTCTTTGTTCTTGTATGGAATACTTGTTCTTTTTGCCATTTCTTTCTGCTTTTGCCATTTCCATAAAGTTTTTTCTTTTGCTTGTTATTATATTTGCTCCTGTAATTGCTTTTAAAAGCAGGAGCATTCAGTAGACATATCAAGCAGATATTCTTCTTCGTTTTGGCTTTAATGGCAGAGACATCTTCAGCATATTTTTTTAATTTCTTTAAACTTGTTTGGCAGCTTTAACCCTTTCTTGCACACTAAGTATGGGGTAAATCCATAAAATAATAAAGTTATGTACTGCTAAAAAAGCTACATTCTTTATTCTGCCTCTCTGCTCCTGTTCAGGATGCTTTGCAGCTGCCTCCCCCTATCTGGGGGTAATTTTGACTTTGTTTGATTTTCCTTATCATTTTGATTAAATAGGTTAAAACTATGGGCTAAACTGTGTTTTGCAAATATCTTTATATTTATTTTACTAGAAATGCATAATCATTAAAATTTCAGAATCACAAGAAGCAAAGGAGGATGGGAAATGTACTGACACGCCTCCTTGATGGACCAGTGCCCCAAGAAGGTTATGATGTGAAGGAATATCAAGTGTCTCTCCGGAACAGAAGAAGAATAATCTTTGGATCTTTGTCTGCAACATCTTTTGTCATTGGAATAGTTGTTTCAGGTTCCATTATTATAGGTAATTTAGCAATAAGCCTTTGGAGCATTTCCTCTTACAAATAGAATAGGCAGACATATCCGTTAAAATGCATTGAGATCAGCCTGTGGTGAGCTGAAACATAGGTCATAATTTGATTGGATGTAAGCTATTAGTTACATTTGGGTAAAATAACCTTTACTGTTAGTTTCAAATTGAATCTGAAAGATTGTACTTTTTTAGATTTTGTTATCTTTGAAAGATTATCAAAAACAAACATATACATCTTGATTATGAAGTATGCAGTTGCTATTTTCAAATTGTACCAATATTATGGCAGGCTATGCTTATACTTTGTGTGATAATTCTTTTTTCAAAGAAAAAATGCATATGCTCTTTGTTGCATTTCCTCCGTTGGCCCCTGTTCCCATCTTGCTTACAAAATGCTGATTAAGCAGCGCTTTAACATGGCTTAAAAATTTTTTACTTCAAAGTCAGAAATTTTGGAATAGGAGAAAGAAGCACACTGCTGTTTCTCTTCCTCTCACAAAGTTCAAAATTCTACCACTGATTACCATGTAATGAAAACGACTGTATTAACAATAATGATCATCATCATATTTTTATGCATTACAGGTATTTTTACTAGCTTGCTCCCAGCGGTACCACTCTGGTTTGGAAATAAAGAAGCATGGCAAGATGTGCAACCAGAATTCTTAAATAATGAGTGGAAAGAATGTGTCAATTCGATACAAAACACAATTGAAAAACTCGACCGAAAACACGTTGTTGAATACAGATTCAAATATCCGTTGTTTGTAAACCTTCCATTACTTTGCATTTATCACAGCCATCATTATAATCATAATTCAAGTGCTTTATTTCTGGAAGAATCAGAGTCTACCGAAAATTTGAATCGTGCTTTTCGGTACATGAGATTTGCGTCTTCTGCATATGGAGCTGTATACATGAGGTTTCTGAAAATAATAAATGACTTGCCATTTTCTGCAAACAGAGACATTGACACAGAAGCTATATGCGAGCATACTGGAATTTTCAAAGAAGATGTGATTAGTGTGAAGTTAACTGGTCTGAAAATTACATGCCCCTGCCACTTCATCGCTGTTGATCGTGCAACAAAGTCGATTGTTGTAACAGTAAGAGGCACTGCTAATCTAGCAGATGTTATTACAGATTTGGTATGCGAATCTGTCAGCTTTTTAGGAGGCTTTGCACACGATGGAATAAAGAGAGGCGCTGAGAGGTTGTTTGAAGAGACAATAGGTATCGTGTGCACTTTGCTTGACAAATACCCAACATACTCTTTGATTGTCACAGGACACAGTCTGGGAGCTGGTACAAGCATTTTGTTGACCATGCTATACCTAGCATTTCAAAGAGGTGATTTGGATCACATAAGGCAAGAACTTCCAAATAAGTTAGGTCAGTGTGTTCTTCGTAATAATGCTGAGATTAAATGCTACGCCTTTGCTCCACCACCAGTTTTTTCTTCATCCAAGATTTTTCAAGGGGACTCGTCCGAAGCCATAGAAGTGTTTGTCAACAACAGAGATATAGTACCCCGTTTGTCATTAGCAACATTTAATGACATGCTTCATGTTTTGCAAAGGGTTGATACTCTAAAACTCGGAATGAAAGAGAGACTGAAAGCAGCTTTATCTGATCACGATCACCCGATCTTGATAAGTTTGATCAACATGATCAAATCAGCTGTAGAAGACACCGCATTTGGAGATAAACTAGCTTCTAATGATGACCATTTTGTTAGACTGTACATTCCAGGAAAAATTCACTGGATGCAACGAAAGCCAAACAAAAGCTACCGAGTACTACAGAAAGGCAGTGATTTTTTCAAGCGAATGCTGCTTGTCGATGGATTCTTCGCAGACCATCTGCCTGATCAATACGAGTATGCTTTTGAGAGTATTTGTCAAGAACAGCAAAGCTAATTTTATTTCACGTCATCACGAAACTGCACAAATCCTTAGCAAGACCTGAAGAAGAAATTTGATTTATCAATTACATTCAAGTAAACATTTTCAAGTTTTTGTAAGAAATACATTTAGCAGATCAATACTTACGAATGTTTTGAATTAAATCTAAGAAAAACTGCTGTAAGTTACTGGTAGCTGAGGCCGTTTCTTGATTAATAAATCAAATGGAGCTTTGAAGCATTGTAATTATAAGTAAATACACATATGTGATTCTATTTCTATAAGCGACAGTAAATTAATTTGGCGTTTTATAGAAGATTAAATGAAAAAACAGATTGAATGCATGGTTTTTTCTTGTCTGTTTCGGAGCCCGCCTTAAGAGATTTGGTATGCCAGTCTGGTGGAACTTACAGTAACAAATATCAAGGGTTACTCTGACCTGCGTCAATCAGTTAAAAAACCTTCCTGAAATAGGATACAGATATTCTAAAGTTATGAAGCGCCAACCAGAGCTTCCCTCCTGTTTATTTAACGTATGCTTGGGTGAAATATCGGGTTTTTTTGCCTTTTTTCTCATTTTTCTTCATCTTTTTGAGATGTTCCTGCCTACTGTTTATTTCTGTCATTAATTTTATCATAGCAAGACCATTTGGGGGCTCCCTTTTTAGCGGCCCTTCATTCTGGCATACTTCCTATTTTAACTATAGCTTTTATAGTTAGTAATTTCAGTCATGCAGAAAGTTTTGAATCACGCACACGCACTCCATTTTCTAATGAAAGAATCAGATCGTAGGCTTCAATTATCTAATAAAACACGAAATGAATTGCTTTACAGGATAAGCTCTGTTCAAACCAACGGGTCACTAAGTAAATATGACTAAAGCTGAAATACATAAAACTTGAAAAATCAATTTTTATTCTTATTGCAAACCGGTATAGAATCAGCTCTATGTTGATAATCACATATGATGTTTCTTTGGTTTAATAATCACAGAAGAGCTACAAGGGGAAGTCATTAGAAGATAAAAAGTTGCATCCCTGACTCCATCACTCAAGCAAGCCATCAATACGGGTGCGTTGGTCATTGACATGTTATTGTGTTATTCGATTTTTATTGTATTGATTAAAGTTTAACATTACAACAGTGTGGATGTCGGAACGAAGCTGGAATATATTGAAAGTATTAAAGATATAACACTCTAAATACACTTATTATTTCATTCAGGATAGAAGGATAAACAATTTTAGAGATGAGCTCAATTGAATTAAGTCGACTATTTTCAAAATGTTGCATTATTTCGCTGCCTTTCATAGCACAAAATCGGTACAAAATGATGAAACAGTTTTTCTGCTGTATTTTCTACAATACAACTCTCTTACGATAAAAATTTATTTCTATTGCAATGACGTACAACGATCTGTTACACAAGATGGTATACATGTAACTGGAAGACTGCTAATCGTTGGCGACAAAAAGCAATAGGGTTGAGTTTCGTGTAGACTGATACTCCGAGATTTGTGACAACATGGTCTTGGTATTTAATCTTAAAAAGACATATATTTATCAACGCTTGTAAAGACTTTATCTTAAATTGCTAGATATCCACTTATCAGATTGCCATTTAGATTGCCACTTATCAGAGATCGAAGCGACCTTACTAGGTTTTCACAAGGCTATCTTTACATTATACTTGGTATGCTTCTGTTATAGGACAACGTATCATCGCATTTCGAGAAAACATGAATCTGCACTCAAAAATTAACGCCGTGGTATTTTTGCTGACGAGGTTAATTCAAATTGCCCACAACAACTGCTTATCGACAAAAGGAGTTGCTTTTAAAGAGTATCAATCAATGTATGTTAACATGACACCGTTCTCTGTGTTTCAAATAATGAATTCACTGGAGTGTCTGCTTGCCTGTGAAAATGACGCAAGGTGCAATTCATTGAATCTTAAACGCAGTCACAGCAATAGAGTCATCTGTGAGCTTCTTGCTGGAAACAGAGAAACTGCGAAAGCAGTCAAATCAGAAATGAGCAGCCATCATGAAATTATGACCAAAGTGCAAGTAAGTGAACTGCTGCCATCTTAAACTGCTGAGGTTAGGTTCCTCGGCTAACCTTTCTTGTGTCTGTTCACAAATACATAGTCAAATTAGGATATCTGATCATGAATTTCTTTGAAAAGGCAACATTCCAAGAAAAATGAGGAAATATTTTGTTCCCTTGAGATTAGAAAACAAGTCTTTTTAAGATACCTTATGCACTCCAATTGCCAAATTGAAATAAACCCAACTGTAATTGAGAGCCAGCCCTAATTTTATTTGCTTTCTTTCGATGTTTATTAACTTTCAAAGTCATTTTCTTGTAACTTCTTGGTCTCTTTGTCACATTCAAAAAACAATTTACTTTCGAAGGAAAAAATTGATGCCACAACAAAGCCGTATTGTCAGCCAGAATGTCACTATGTCCCATCATGCAAAGCAGACCGAGCAGCGAGTTGCAGATGTTTAAACCGTAAGTTCATCATTCATTAACATGCTCATCTGAAACAAACAGTAAAGTGATATCATAGATATATATCTGTTCATTCTGATTCATAAACTTAGCTTGAATGGAAACCAATTGCTTTTAATTTGGTTTTCATTTCACAGATAGTATTTCCGATATCAGTGTAGCATTTGTTGTTTCATACTCCTTGTTCTGATTTCTGAAGAAACATCAAATTGAGATATTGAAGCTATTAGAAGCAAATTGTAAATATTTCAATTCGTAAAACTGATGTTTGTATCATTTAACTTCACTTCGCTCGAGTGAGACTGAAGTCGCTAATTTATATGTTCTTTATCAAATAGACATCTTTTTATACTAGGAATGATGTTTTCCATGAACAAAGGACATATTTTTGTAGTTGGGCCAAGTGGAAACCAATATGCAAGAATCCTAGTTGACATTCCTTCAGGCCTGTACCAGCTGAAACTGGTGAGTTCGACCGGGTTCATCTCCTGCAATGGTTTTGGTGATCCTTCAAGGTTGACCAATTTCGGCTGCATTTCGATGACTGGGGATGACGAAATAATGATGATTGTAACTGACAACAAAAACAGCCAGCTATTACCAGGTCCACGTGGCTATTCACATGACGGTAGAGCCAGTAAGTCTGATTATCTGACCTTCAACGACCAAGTACAACTGACACAAGGTCAAGAGATTCGAATTTGGTACCGTGATGATCTGAATGATAACTCAGAAAGCGACAACGTTGGCTTAACCTACTTTTATGTTGCAGCAATAAGAGCGGATAAAGGATCATCGTAAGACTGCTCCCAAGAAAATTGAACACAAATTCAACCGTAACTTTATTTTAAGTAGCAAAACGGAAGTAAGGCTGTCCTGCAGCTGATGGCGTTAAACAGATTAAGGTTCGGGTCAAGCGTCGCTCTTCTCGTGCGCCTAATCTAATACAATTAAATGCGGCAGTAAAGCGGTGCTGGAGCGACGTTGAGTCAGATGTCGCTCCTTATCGTGTCGCCTCCTTATTCATGTAGACATTGAATTGAATTATTCCCATAGAAAGACTCTGAAAGAATTGGTAACTTGGTAACATGGTATTTAACTGAAAGGTACAAGAAACGGATGAGTTTGATCCGTTTTAGTTTAAAACAAAGTTGAATGTAGCTTCAGACGTAGGAATCGAGTTCTGGTTTTGATTAGAAGAGTGAAGTACTGAATTAAGTACTATGCAATACTGGTTTCATTATTCGTTCAAATTTAACTGACTCAGCTTATTACAAATATGTTTCTATATTACTGCATGTTTGATACTGGCATTTTTGTTGATTATAAACTCAACCTTCTAGCGAATTGATCTTTGATAATTTTGCGTAGTCATCATTTGCACTAAACAACGACTCAAGAAGTAAATGTGATTGCAAGAAGAAAAAATGAACACGAATTTATGATTAGTTTAAGGTATAACTGAATAAGAGTACTGTAACCAGAAACTTTTCATGTAACAATTCACTTTATGCATTCTTTTTACGTACAATAAGCAGTCATCAGCAATGTGGTAGTTGCTTTCAATCCTTATTGTTAATGCATTAAATCACTCCCAACGACTTTGCAGCATTTACTGTTCATCCTGTTCACTAAATTGAAGATTTTAACAGTCTTTCATCGACAAAAAACAAGGTATAACAAATCGTCTGATTGATTTTACACCCTTTGAAACATGCTATGACATTTTTCAGATCATATAGTCCAAATTTAATGTTGTAAAAAAGTGTTCAGTCGCCACTCCTCTTGTTCATTTACCACCCTATTTCATTATTGACATTGGTGATATTGGCTATAACTGGGAACTTAGCCTTTCATCACCCGAATTAGATACCAACATAATAGTCTTGGTCTCGGATCTTAAAGTCTACGATCTATCAAACTGCTGCGTCTGGCCTAGGCACCGTGCTTCGCCTTCAGCCTCTTATCTGATACAACTTGCCCGCAATACAACTCCTCCATGAAATAATACCTAATAACAGTTGAATATAAAACAAAACAATAATGGCTTCTCGAAACATGTATACCTTTTGATTTTACACAATTCCAACCATATTTCAACTTATATACCATAATGATATACTTGTAAAATTATAAATTGTGAATTTTATTTAAGAACTTTCAACACAGTTGTAATAGTGTTAATAGAATCTATTTTGACTAAGTTACCTTGCAACAGAATAAACTTCTGCCAATGTATTTCATAAAGTTTTAGATCCCCGTGATCATTTGCGAATGTTTCGTGAGTCATTGAAAGTATTTGATAAAAAACAAAGCGTATTTGATCAAAAAAACCAAACAAAACTAAATGAAAAATTTTAAAGCTGTTTCCTATGTTTAATACCAGATCTTAAAATACGGAAAATTGAAAATTTGTTTAGTTTCTTTAATTTTCTTGAGCAACATACTAACGGATTTAATTAGTTGTAGCTTTTCAAATAAAAACTCGATTCAACATAGCTAGCTTTCAAGTTAAACATACATTGAAAAGGCAGAAAGCAAAGCTATTGTAATCTTCTATGTTTAAAACTGTTGAATTTTCTCAAGAATATTGGCGATCCCTAATCAACAAAAAATATGCAAACATTTCTAGCAAACAGCTTCAAAAGTCTGGTTGTTTGTACAATTTCACTCAGATGAAGCCGACATAATTTACCTACGTTAAATAGTAAGCTTGAAAACTTGTTGATGAAAATCAACATTTCATTCATATTGAAAAAAAATGAAATACTGTTTACGTGAGCATTCTTAAATTATGCAGGTTTTATATTGTCTGATGCCATTAATGTGCAGAAGTGATTGATTTATCTTTCAAGACCTAATCCAGCCTCAAATTTCTTGTCGAAAGCAGTATTGGCAGCTTGCGTAACAGCGCTATATCAACACCGGAAATATCACATATTATTTTATTTCTGCGATATTTTTGCATTGCTGCGCGCATCTTTTGTACGCTAGAGCACTTACCGTAAATCCTCGAATTATTAGCCCTCTGGGGGCTTATTTATTCTTAATATTTCTTGATCGGGGCTTATTCGAGGGGGGGGGCTTATACGGGGGGCGGCTTATAAAATTATTGTAGACATTAAGAAGACATTATTAATAGACCTCGTTTATTTTAGTAGAAATTTCTTTATGAGCATTTAATTAATTACTACCAAAAGTATGAATTTGTTGTGTTAATTAAATAAAAGGCCATAGGCAACCTCAGATGGCAAAAATCATCAAATGGAGGGGTCCAATTCGAGAATTTATGGTAGCAGTGGGGGCCTATTCAAATGGGGGGGGCTTTTGGCAATTTGTAGTTCTAGGGTGGAGCTTATTCGAGGGGGCTTACTGACAATTTGTAGTTCTAGTGTGGGGGTTTATTCGAGGAGGGGGGGCTTTTTCGAGAGGGCCAATTCAAGGAATTACGCTATGTGAAAGTCAAATATATGTTCCGGTTTGGTCTATTGTCAGAGAGGCAATGCCCAGTAAAATGAAGCGTCAATTATGTCCAAAACTCCAATACTTTCATAATGTCTTCATTTGATTGGCATTTGTCCATTATGGAGGAATAAAGTACTAGAAAAAAGTCCTCTAAAATCCAAGCAGTGGAAATGCTCCAAAATGAAGGCTGACTTATGGCAAAGTTAATGACGTCATCAGCAACCCAGAAGCATTTAGCATTGATCAAAAAACAATTACATTTAAATTTTTCCCCGGCAAAGCAGCTTCCAAAGCTAGGGTTTGTAGGGACTCGTAGAGGGCGCATTTCAATGAGCTTCTGCGCAAGACCATAGTCGCCATTATGCGCATGCGCAGTTTTCGAAAATCTGAATCATGAATTGCCCCGAATTTGGATTTTAGCCCCCTAGAAAAGTTTCCTCCGGCCTCAAGCCTGCCTGGGCTTGTCAAATATAGCGGCAGGTCAATTTTCATTTCTGTTCATTTGTATTCACTGATGTGAAATGAAAGTAAACAAAAGAAAACATAAAGGCACAATGACAACAAGAATAAAAAGAGATCTAAACGATACAAGGCGAATTGTTAAATTCTTGGATGCAAGAAGACTCTTTACTGATAATCTTTCCTTGAGATCCATCGCAACAGGTGTCATAGCAGAAGAGGGAGCAAATGTTGACAGAGCAAGATAAATTGGCGAGAAAATTTTAGATGAAAAAACGGGTAAGGAGTCAGAGCAATATGTTTTCAAAAAGGCAAACCAAGCAACTGTAATTATAATACCCAGTGAGGCAAAAATGGCTTATATTGAAATCCAAGTGGATCTCCAACTCCTTTTCCAAAGGTTCATTGCATTTAAGGACTTTGTTGGACAAGATGTCCGTTCAATATTTCAATAAGAATTATGCTCAGTTCCAGCTTTTATATTTGAGGCAAGTGGTTTACCAAGGAAAGCGAACAAGCCAGTACTCGCAGAGGCAGTAGCCAAAACCGGCAATTCCAGTGATATGAGCCCAGCGGAACCATTCCAATACGTCCTTGATGGAGGGTCACTTTTGCAACATTTGGCATGGAAGCTTGGAGACCGATTCGCTTCGATCTTTGATTCATATCTATGTTTCGTCACTAAGAAGCAGGGCCTAAATTAAGCGTGGATCTGACTCATTTTGTGGAGTTGTAAATTAAAATTGTGGACCTGTAATTGTAGAAAGTGTGGATTTGTAAATAATGCACGTTCTTAAAAGTGCAGCATAAAATACCAATCGAAACGCCTAAGAAAGAAATTGGAATATTCTTCCAATTCGCTATGGATGCCCAATCCCAGCCTTATGTATTGCACTCATTGTTTATAAGAAAATTGCGATAAGAAATAAGCAATGGATAATAAAGAAGATTTAAGAAACTTCAGAGCTCGAAGCTTCAGTACATGCGGAGAAAAATCAAGTGCGCTTTATGATATTGTTGTGTGCTATTTTGAAGTAAGATGGACTCTGTATACAGCTTTAACTCCAAGACAACATCTCAATTTAGTTTGCTTTTATGACTTGCTTAAAAAAGACACTGAGCCTTAAGACCAAGACCGAGATTATGATTTCCTGCCCGTAATGTATTTTGGGGTTTTTATGTGATATCTTTCAGTAGATTTCAAAAAAAGTTATAAACCATTTCAACTAAGGTGTTTTAAATTGGAGAAGCATTGGAAAGATTCCTCTCAAGGCTACAGCAGCTGAACGATGATAAGCCTCTCGGTGGTAGCTGGGAGGAACATTCAATTGGGAATGTTGTATAACAGGGACTATAGTCCTCCTCAACTTCTTTGCAATAATAGGTTAGAAAGTCTTTTGAAAGTTTACGCTAACGAACGCATTAGTAGCAGTTCTTCTGGGAACACGTTTTTGTTCTTTTTGATGGTGCTTTATCTTGTGTGATCAAAGATAAATTTGTATTTTATCTAACTCGGTTTTGTATTTTTATGTTAATTGAAATCTTCTTTAAATCGTTATTTTTATGAATAAGGACAGAAAAAAGCAAATATTTTCTGAAAGGAGTAGTTTCCGGTGTTTCAAAGGACGTGGCCGTAAAAAAATTTAGGGGCAAGCCTGCTAGTCCCGTTCCAGCCACTCCCTTGTGGTCTGGTGCCAGAGTGAACTGATCTAGCGTAATATTAACATGATATTGGCCAAAAATTGTCATTTAGCATCAAATCTAGCATAATTTGGAATCTAGCATAACTCTGGCATAATTCTGATATTATTTAAAAGAAACATTGTTCCATTGATCCATTGTCTATCGTTATCAAATGCAAACACTTTACACCAGCATCTGTGGTTTCATTTTGGGAGTAATTTGTGACTTTCCACCTTCAGGATATTGCCAGTTGTTTTGAATGGTTGGCAGCCACATATTTTGTGGTTGGCAGCCAAATGCAGCCAGCTAAACGCAGTATACAAAAAAGTTTAATTTTTGCTAATTATTGGGAGTGATACCGTAATCAAAATTTTTGCTTTGTAGATTACAAAAGTTTTCACTTGCTTTGATCTAAAACTGTCTGTTATCTTTTGCTTTGTTTCGTCATTCATCATTTGCAATTTTGAAATTATTTTAAAAATTTTTGAATATTATCTGTGCAAAAATTTTTTTTTCCTTTGCATTTTCGTTATTTTTGCAAGTGGCGGACTGGCAACGGTTTGACCAACCGGGAAAAGTAGCCAAAAGGGCGCCAATAGGTGCTAAAGTTGCATAACTTTGGGCGGAAAAACTTTGCTTTACCTGAGAATCAGTTTGCTGCAAACACTGTCATAGGAAACGAAACGGGGGGGTCAGGGGCTGGCCCTCGGAAATTTTTTAAATCACCCTATTTAGAATGTGAGAACATGCTCCAAGTTTTTTATTCACAATTGGCATTGGCATGAAGAAGATTCTCAGTCAAATTGACTGTATTTGAAACGTCTACACGGCTAATAAAATTTGTAGATATCAAATGATGTATTGCCCTCAATTTTAGGTATCAAATGATGACAGCGGCGGTTTTAAGGTGGGTCGAGGCCGGGCCATGGCCCCAGGCCCCACGATTATTGTAGCCAAAAGGGGCCCTGTATCTAAGAAAAAAGAAACAAATTGTAAAGAGCATGGGGCCCGCAAATGTCTCTGGCCCCGGGCCCCGCAGTCCTTAAAACCACTACTGAATGATGATATCAAATGATAGATTTTGAAAGTTGGTCCAAAGCCCAAAGCCATTTTTCAGCTAGTGAGACACTTTTTTCCAAGATTTTACAAAGAAAGCAACTTCTCTGGCCTAGGAGACGAGAGTCATTTCGATTAAACTCGATCTCGAAATCTTTAAAAATTTGACAAAATACAGCACTTCATTCTCATAAATTTTCAAAAGTTTTGCAGCATATCTTTGAAAAAAAGTAAAAAGGTACCTCAACACCTGCTAGCCTAATGACTGTGTTGCTCCTGCTTCCACGCTACAGTTGCAAATCATTTACAAAAGATATGATTTATGATCAGGTATTGAACATGTGCTTAAAACTGTAGACTTGTCCGAAAAATATCTGATAACATATCTTGGACAAATGGATTTTAATAGATCTTGCTGCCATCCGTTTTGCGCAAATTGATGATTTTGCAGATTGATGGCTCCTTCGGTATGAGAAACTGTGCGTAAACATGGTAAAATGGATAAATAATTTCTTAAGAAAAGACACAGTCTCTATTCTGGGACAAAAGTTTGAAGAAAGATTAGAATACTTTAATAATAAAATTTGAAACCACAATCCTGGCCAAAACTCGTGAGACTGCTTTCCAAATGCAATTGGGTTCTTATTCAACGTGATCCCCTACCCCCTACATCAATGTTGGGGTGTTTGTATGGGCTAATATCGAATGCTGGGACATTTAGCTCTCAAACGACACCAACATTGATATAGGGGGGAGGGGAGAAATTGATATGTCCTCATTTTTCTTGGGAACAATTGATAACATGCCGAATTTTTAAATCAGTGTCAAGGAGTTTTGGCCACGATTGCAGTTTTATCAAAACAGCCGGTTTAACTTTCCATTAAGTTTATAGAAGGCTCTTACATGAGGGCATCATTCCTCAATAAATTCTGTATAGAGTTTTTAAAAAGTTGTCAAGATTTTTGGCTTCAATTAGTCATAGTTTTTTTAGGGTACAAAACTCCTGGTTGTAACGTACAAAAATCATAATGCATAGGAGATTTTAGTTGAATTGCAAAGTAAAATAGCTTGCCAACAACAGGACGTTGAGAAAGTATTGTTCTTTATCATACCTAGAACAGCTTTCACTATTAAGGGATAGTTTGTGGCCCAAAGAAAAAGGACTATTATTCAAAAGAGACAACACAAGGAATATGCATATATTACGTCATCAAAAAACGGCAGTATTTGAAAAATCCCTTCTCCCAGAATAATTATTTTAACAAGCCTTAAGAAATAGCCATAATGACTGTTACCGTTTGTGAAAAATTTTAACATATTAAAAGCTTTTTCATCTGAACCTCTTTAGAGTTTAAAACGTAAGAATAAGGGTTGGAAAGAACAAGATGGAGAATGAATACCCATTTGTGGATCGAATTCTCCATCTTGTTCTTTTGGTCCTTTATTCTAACGTTATATGCTCTGAAAATTTTCAGAAGAAAAAAATTTTATTTGTTTAACATTTTTTGCTTTTTTCAAAGCCATTTTCAAAACAAAATATGTTTTTCTCAAGGTTTTCAAAAATTTTGCAGAAACTGCTGATGAAAATCTCGTTTTCAATGAATTTTCTAAACTTTTCATGAAAACGTACTTTAGACAGGAGGTCAATTTAAGATTGTAATCAGTTTTTCCGAAGGTCAGTTGCCTTTTGAAAGTTTTCAAGTTTTTGAAAAAATAACTTGGGGCAAAGGGCGCATCGGGAAATTTCCCGGTGTCCCGGTGGGCCAGTCCGCTTCTGTTGTAGATGAAGACACAGACCTGCTCATTCTTCTTCTTTATCACGCTAAACAGAATCGAAAATCCATCTTTTTTTGTCAACAGTAAAAGAAAAATGCAAAGAAAAATGTTAGAGTCTGGGATATCAAGTTTTGTCAAGGAGTTCTCGGTTCGAAGACATGGAAGTATATTTTATTTTTGCATGCATTTCTGGGTGTGATACGACATCAAGTCTTTCTGATAGAGGCAAGGGCCTGGCACTGAAATTGTTTAAAAAGAGCACACATTTTTCGGGAATGTGCAAATGTTTTCAACTAAGAATCCTCTACCACCAAAGACCAGGTTTATGTTGCAGGAGAAAAAAAGCATTAGTTGCCGTATATAATGGAGAAGAGAATACTTCACTAGACGACCTCCGCTATAATGTTTTTAAGCGCAAAGCATGTTTCTGCAAAATTACAGATCAACCCCGAAGTACTACCACCGACATCAGCTGCAGCAAAATACCACAGCATGCGAGTATACTGGCAGGGCAGATGATGAAATGGAAAGGCCATTCGATAGATCCTAACAAATGAGTGTGGCAGGTCGAGGATGGTGCGATGTCTCACGGATCTCCCTTGTAGACCCAAAGAGATGTTGAGCTGATTTACTGTAAATGTAAGAAAGGGTGTACTAATATGAGATGTTCATGCAAGAAAAATGATTCAGGGAGCTGTCATAAAGTATGGAACAGACCGGGGCGGAAGGGATTTCAAATTTAATATTAAAATCATGTAGCCCAATGCTAGAAATAAAAAAATCTTCATGGCCCCAATACATGTTCTAAAAGAATTTGATAGCCCCTGAAAACTTTCTGATGAAGAATCACAGAAAACAGCACTAATTTTCTTTACACAATAAAGATTAGTAATACATCACTCTCTGAAGGGCCAGAACTGAGCCAGCTTTATTTCCTGGGGAAAAAATGTTTTGTGGAAACAGAAGAATAAGATGAAGAGAAAGAGGAAACTGGAAAATGACAAGAAGAGTAAAGAGAGGAAGAAAATGAGGCTACACAAAAGCTGTGGAGCAGTTTTGTGTGTAATAACACATGATAAGTCATTCTGTGACTACACTGCTCAGGGAAAGTTTGATTTTCATATTTTTTCAAATTGAGGAAGCTTCTATCAACTCAAATGCTATGGATGCTCTAAAGCCAAAGTTACATTTGCGGGGCTTGAAACATCTAATTGAGAAAGGTATTTTTAGAGATTGGGATGCTAGCAGCAAAATGGCAGAAAGGTTTTGCAAGCATCTTCAAGATCATCTGGCAGTAACAACAGAAGCTAACGAATTGAAAAAGGCTAAAAGAATGAAGAAACCAAAAAACAGTACAATGTTTTCAGAAGGCAGCAATGAAAATGCCAGAAGATACCACTATGGTAGAGACTGAAGAGAGCAGTGACCGTGATATTGACAATAGTGACTAACTTTTTTTAAATATTCTAAATGAACAATTTCACGGCCCTTGATTAATGTTTGAAATAATTTATTAGCCCAGCTGTAATAGGGTTATATTTTTGTCGAAACGAATACATCCACCCTATCGTTACCGTCGATATAAACTAGTCCTTCAATGAGAATTGAGACAAAGAGACAAATAAATAATGTTTCAAACGTCCATCTTCCGATCATGTGATCTTTCCGCGAAAAAGGTTATAAACTTCACAATGTTTCTCTAACAGGCACAGTCTTTCACAAGCACTGTCCGTTCAAACTATACTATAATAATGCACAATCAATAAATCATCACGCGCGATTCCATAAATGCAAATACGTATTCTATAAATCCATACTTCATGTCGACAAGATCTTTCACAAGCATCTTGCCACACAAGTGTAACGTCGAGAACCTAAATATACATATATCAAAACTTAACCTAATCGCTCTTAACCGAATTCCATTTCCCACTTCAACTCCAACTCCAACGAACTCAAAAACTAACTCTAAAATGTAACACGCCCAAAATATAACTAAACAAGAACTTATTGTAATGCTACATAGCTACGTAAATTTACATAATAATAGTGAATACAAAATATATTAGTCCCAAGATTAATTACATAAACTGAACAATGATACTAAAAATCCCAAAAGAAATAGTTAATGAATCTAAAGGTGCAATTAGAAAACAAAAGGAATTATAAACAATCGAATGTGCGAACGGTGATAAAATTACTAAGGTTACAGGATGCAAAACAAACGAAATCCAAACTAGCACTATTACATACCTCCCCATCTTGAAAAAAAGGAATCGTCCTCGATTCTATATAAAAATACTATAAATAAACGACTGTCCGAAATTATCTGTCCGTTAGTGTTAAAATGACAAGTCCAGTAAGATAAATGTTAGCCAAATGCATCTCTGGATGGTGTTTAGGGTATACGAACTATCGTCTCTTTGAACAGTTGTTCGTCGCCTTCCATCGATAAAATACATGTCTCTTCAAATACATGTCCATGGTGAGTCTTGATGCGTTGGGTTCTGGTCTGTTTCCAGCACCTTCGAAAACTGTATTACAAGTATCGTTTCGAATGTATATCCCACTCCTGTCACCAAATGTAATAGGGTTATTTGCCAAACGAATCCACCCTATCGTTACCGTCGATATAACTGGTCCATCAATGAGAATTGCAACAAGGAGACAAATAAATAGTGTTTCAAACGTCCATCTTCCGATCTTGTGATCTTTCCGCGAAAGGTTATAAACTTGACAATGTTTCTCTACGGTTGTCCCGTAACGTCGATTCGTTCTCTTAATGTCAGGCACAGTCTTTCTCAAGCACTGTCCTCTCAAATACATCTAATAATCCAAAATGATCCACAATAATCGTCACGCGCGATGCCTTAGATAGCTATACGTATCCTATAAATCCATAATTTATGCCGACAAGATCTTTCACAAGCATCTTGCCACACAAGTGTAACGTCGAGAACCTAAATATACATATATCAAAACTTAACCTAATCGCTCTTAACCGAATTCCATTTCCCACTTCAACTCCAACTCCAACGAACTCAAAAACTAACTCTAAAATGTAACACGCCCAAAATATAACTAAACAAGAACTTATTGTAATGCTACATAGCTACGTAAATTTACATAATAATAGTGAATACAAAATATATTAGTCCCAAGATTAATTACATAAACTGAACAATGATACTAAAAATCCCAAAAGAAATAGTTAATGAATCTAAAGGTGCAATTAGAAAACAAAAGGAATTATAAACAATCGAATGTGCGAACGGTGATAAAATTACTAAGGTTACAGGATGCAAAACAAACGAAATCCAAACTAGCACTATTACACAGAGTTTCGCACTCAAAAGTTTTGATGACCCTGCTGAATCCCTTACGCCCCGGTCTGTTCCATACTTCATGACAGCTCCCTTAGCCTGTACTACTGCTTGTGGAGAATGTCGCGGAAATAGCTGCAAAAAACCCGATGCGTTTGGCTGATTCACCATCTGGTAATGAGGAATGAATAACCAGATACTAAAAACGCACGTTTGGCAGCAGCAATGTTGATTTTTAGTTTACTTTAATATTTTTTTAAAACTACTTCCTAGTTCTTTGCAAGAAAATAATCATGCTGATGGACTTTCGATTGCAACTTAAAAAAATTTTGTTGCAATTACAGTTTGACTGGACTAAAGCCCACAAGTTAAGATCAAGGCACATTTTTTATAATAGCGCACTTTTTTATCGACTGAACAGTTAGAAGATATATACTTCCATTTCCTCCCATGGAGTGTTTTTGCTTTATTGGAATGTCTTTCTCAGTTTGCATGTATTTTAAATATCTTTCGGCTTACAGAACTTAATAAAATTTAAATACTTGATATATTCACTGCGTGATTTATGGAAAGTTTTAATTATATCCATCATTATGATATGCTTAATGTATATAACATGTAAGTTGTGGTTTGATTGTTACATTTAACATGGAGCCATGAAAGCTTTACCGTAAAAAGTAAAGACTAGGTTTTCAGGGCACATTGGCCACTAGCAACGTTTCAGACATTAAAGTAGACATCTGCAAGATCTCCTGCAGCAAATTTCCTAGTCAGTGTTTAACGTCTTATATTCCTGTCAAAGCTTCAGAAGTTGAACGATTATCGATAGAAAAAAAGGACGGTGGAACAGCTTAAAGGCTTGGTGATAGATAACGCTGGAAAAAAATTAGCACATTTATCACGTTATCTAACACATTTAAGGCCTGTTCTTACCATGATTGTAAAAGACAAGATTAATTGTCTGCTGATTGTGAAACAACGTATACAGAAATAAACGGTTGCAAAGACAATATGCGTTATTTCAAATTGAAACCGAAAGCAGGTTGTCGAATAGATTAACACTGAGACCTCAGCACCGCAGCAACCACTGCTTAACAATCACTCTACGAGTCCTAAGATTCGTGAATAGCAAAGCCAGGCGTTGCACAGAATTACTTATTCATCAATCAAGAACCAATGAAGTTGATTTGTAAACTACAAATGCTGAAAACCCAAAGATATAAGATATACTCCCAAATAGCCATCATTAGATCCCAATTTTCAACGATTTCTTTTCAATAAGCTTTTGAATTACTACCGAGCTATTGTTAAGCAATTAATGTACAATTAAGACAGCAAATCAGAAATCTTTGCTACTTAATGTCATGGGCAGGGCCTGGGACGAACCTGCTCGCCACCTGATGGAATGGCTAGATCTATCGGCCGATACCCGCAGAACATCTTTTCAGGAACCGAAAGCCGCAGAAATCTTTATTCGTTATTTTACGTAGCTTCAGGCTTGGCAATAATTTCCGACCGAAAATCCGTACCATCAACAACTAACTAACCCCAATAAATGAAGTTTCATAATTGATTGATTTTTTATTGATGGCTGATGATATTTATCATTCTAAAGACTATCAAACATGTACAAAACTATATACAGCTGATAAGAGACTCGCAATGTGGTCGTGTTGTGATTGAACGGTGAAAAGTAGAGTCAATCAGTGAATCAAATCTACATGGAAGCACCGATAAAAGTTTTGCAAAAAACGATATGTCGAGGAAATATCCCACATTGTTGAAATTTGAAACATTTTCCAACATAAACGCAATGATTTACTGGCTTTCAGTAGCATATTCAATACAATGAAACTACTCCCAGAAATAAGCAAATTATATTGAATTTCGAGGTTTCTACAGATACCATTTACTGGCGTCTTATGGGCACGGCAGGGGTACGCCATGGTAGCTAGAGCCGCCATCTTTAAGTCTTTGGTTTATAAACAGAGTAGGAATTTGATAATTTTTCATTTGATAAAGCTTGTTTTCAGACAAACGCAGACAACTTGATCAAAAGTAACTTTTACATACCTTCAGTGAGTTTTCTTAAGGAAATCATGGGCTATTTAAATTGGGTTTTTCCAATGGATTTACTAGAAGATGTTGAAATCAGCGCTGAAATGCAGATGGGGGTAAGTTTTTGTTACAAAGTTTTTGAAGATGTTTACGTCTTAAAAATCATATTTCAGCACTTTTAAACTATAGAACATTTATGAGAAATATCAAGCAACCCTTTTCTTCTGTCTTCTTCTTTACTCTTGATTGTCAAATATATGTCTGTCTGATCAAATTCACAAACTTCAAGATAAAAAAACATGAATATTTTTACTACAAAATTCTTTGATTAATGTTTATGTAGCATTTTAAAAAGTTAAAAAGCATTATACATGTTTTTGAAACAGCGACCATTTGGTTTGAGGAGCTGAAAACGCATTATCCTTCTTGTGCATGTAAACTTATCTATTCATTAAAGATTGTACAAAAATTCTGGAAAGAAAAGCGGTCTGCGGTGAAAAAGAACCAACTTCGCTAGTGATTTCCATTGAAACTCAGTAAATGGAAACTGATTATGTATTCAGCCTTCTAGAGAAGTGACTGCGAGTTGAACAAAACAAAACAATCACCTTGAGCATAATTAGCAACAACCAGCAAAGCTAGGTCATGTGCATGGTCAATGATAAAACCACAAGTTGCTACATGTTTGCTACAAAGTGAAGTCTCAATGTAGCTTTAAGAAGGTTTTCATTACATCCTGACTGCAAATTAATAGAGTTCATGAAATCCCATCTCAAAATTATATTTGGAATTTCAGTTGTATTGGGAGTTTCTTTATCCTTTATAAATCAAATATATTGAAACCAAAAAAATTTGGAGCCAAACTGCCTCCTGATGAAACGTGTAAAACTAGGAATAGCAATTAAGACCTGTCCTATTCTAGACGTCATTGCTACTATGTGGAGTTATAATAACACATATTTTTATTGAAATTATTATTTTCATCCATCTCGTCTCCAGAAAGTCAATATCTAGCTCACTAACGTAGAAAAAGGTGTGCTACTTTCCCAGCAATTTATTTACTCGTTTTCTTGGTTCCCTGCAGGAAATTCTGGTTCAAGAATATGAAGTAGAAATACTGGAACAACCTATATTAGAAGAGCTTGAAGTTAGGATTGAATTTGCAGAGATAAAATATTGCGAGGATGAACCAACAAACCGTAACAGTTTTCAAAGGAACAACAATGGTGAAAGAACTGAATCAAAAATCGTAGAAGAGGACATTATAATAGAGAAGAGACTTCAAGAGGCAGTTTGACAATAGCGTTAGGAGATCATTTTTAGGGAACTACAAAAATTTTTACATATTGCATGTCGACATCAAGACGACAAAATTAACGAAGACGAAGAGAATCGCCTACCTATGAATTTATGAAGAACACTTAGTAAGAATTCATAGCGGAGATAATTAACAGATTGTTGCTAGCGATTAGTAATTTTTGTACTTTGAGTTGAAAATCTGGTAATATACCTTCTATGAATTTGAAAATGGCTTTAAAAAGCAAACATTTTACAACATAATACTTGAAGTATTTTTGTCTGGCACTCCACAGAGTATAGAAGGTCAGAATAAGAGTCAGAAAGAAGACGACGGAAAATATAAACCCAGCTGTGGATATTAATAGGCCAATCAGAAAAACGCAAGCACATGACCGGTATAGTTGTCCAATCAGTGCTGCGTGCTTGTAGAAAAATTACCAGTGGAGTCCAAGAGAGAAAACGAACTCTTTCTGTCTACACAAAGGCGGCTTTTTCGTTTTTGTGTAGATCGATTCCAAAACTGCTAGATGAAAAGACGACCGAGCTCTGCCAATTATCTGAAACATGTCGCGATAATAGGGCTTTGCACAGTCTGGGTTGTCTGATATGAATTTCCTTATTATAGCAATGTTTGTAAATCTTAGACTGTCAGAATTTTCATTTATAAAACAGACCAGCTAAACACAACGCGGATCTTTATAATAATCCAAATAAAACCAGACTACTATCTCCTTCCTTGGCCAAGTAGATGTCGTATTTTCTAATAAATGGCTAGACATAGAAAAAGGCTTCCTTCAATAAACACCTGTCATTTCCTTTCAGAAAAAGACGAAAACAGTGTCGTTTTCTTTTAAACGCTGCGCATGCTCAGACTTGGGTTTATGTTTAGCAAAAAACAGAGACTTTTTATTCTGTCTATAACTATTACTGAATTATTTGGTTGCGTTTTTAAAATGGTTTTAAGATTTTTATTAGGTTAGCAACTAACAATTTGTTTATATTCTCTTGACCTAGCGAAGTCCTATATCCAGTATCATTACCAATATTCAGTTCATTAGGATAGTCTCATAGTTTATAAAAATAACAGTTTACCGGTCTGTCATGAAGTGCTGGATGCCTTATAGGCAGATTTGCATACGCGTAGCCCCATAGCCTAAACATCCAATCGCATTAAGGCTTTTTTTTGAGTTCTTACACAAAAAACCAACTCGCCTTTCTGTTAGATACTTCTCATGAGCAATATAGTGGAATTCTCTTTAAATGGTGCATCAAATTCCTTATATGAGAAAATCCGTTACATAATGCTGAAAAGCGATTGTCACATGTTATTTAAGCAATCATAGCGTTGTTTGTAAAACAATGTCTTGAAGCGGAAGACTACGAAGAGAAGACTGCTTAAATATGTGAGTTTTCGAATGGAAATTTATAAATACATTGGGACAGAATAGCAGAGCCACCAGAAAGAGAAGATGACAATTGAATATCTGAAGACGTTACTGCCATGAAATACCTATCAAAAATTAATGATATTCATGGAACAGTTTTGGTAATTCATTCTTGCTGAGACAAAACAGAAATTAGAGAACTCAGAAATAGAAGACAAAAGGATGCTAGTTGTTACTACATGTAGAATAACTTGATGGAACAAACGCTAGAACATGGATATTGCGATGCTTGGACGGGGGTGAGCCAACAAGAGAGCTACATAAAACCTCTCGTTTGACAGGAGGCTTTACTTTTATGACAAGATAGAACAAAGAATTCAAGCATGTAATTCTGTGCTTCGAGCTTTATTTACAAACTCTAACAAAATAAAAGAGAGTGTAAGAAGAGTTTAGCACTCTCGACAAACAAAACATTCTCGACAAACAAAAATATCAACAAACATTATAAAACAGTTTGTACTTACAAAAACTATGATTTGGAGAATCTCATGGTACATGAATACATGAAGCATGATGTTTTAAGTTTCAAAATCTACTTATTTAGGTATTGCTAGGATTTCTCTAGGAAATCTGCTTGTGAGGACAGTATCTCTATTTTGCACTTATAGTTCGCATTTTGAATGCATAAAGACAAATATCTAAAATTTATTTAAATCACATGACCTTGTTATTTTTAAAATTCATTGACAGAAAGGTAGCAGATAAAAAATGAAAGAAAAATTGGTACATCCTTTAAACGTCTAAAATTTAAGTATGAGGAAAAAGAAACGAGGTTTGATGACGAAAAATGCTTCTTTAAAATGAACCTCTTTTTTCTTATAAGCTTGTTTCTTATATAAATTTGCTTAATTACAAAATTTTATTGGACGCAAAAAAATGAAGGAGGTTGATTCATACAACAGTCATTAAAAGCGAAAACGTCTGTTTATGATCAAGACCAATAGATGAATGAGGGACCATGCGGAAGAATGTTTCTTTTCTGTAAATGGTCCTTTACAAAAAACGCTTGATATGATTGTATTAAGTCCTTTTGACGGCGAGTCATAGTCGTTTGTTTACAATATAGATAAGAAAGAAAACCCATCACCGAAATTTTGAGGAAGATGTGAATTTCCAACAAAGATGTCTTTATATGAAATTTACCGTTTACTGGTCTGTCATAAAGTGCTCAATGCCGTATAGGTAGGGCTGTATACGCTATTGGTGTATAGAAATGCCATGTTCTATAAACCAAAGCAGGTATCTTTATATGTATTCCGCAGTCTAATTAGGGGCTCAAGTTCTAAGGAATGTCTGGTCCTTGCTTTTCATAAATTACTTGCTTATTGTAGATGACAATGAACTGATCCTTGTTTCAAGGATGGCTGCGTACGAAATCGAGCTTCTTTCCGACACTGGTGTTCAGAGAATAAGAGCTATGTAACGTATTAGGACTGACGTGTTTCTACCGGGTCATTTGTAGAGATATAACCTAATAATCTTGCAGTTATAGTTATAAAGGTAAATAACATATTCTACCTGGCTGCTTTATCGTCAATGTCATCAAAATCGTCAGATATCAGTGGGCCATCCTCAGCTGATTCCTCCTCCACTTCTTCAAGTTTGACATCTGGGTCGTCACTACTTATCCAGGAATCTTCGCCTTCCTCTGGTTCATAGTTGTCATATTCAGCAATTTCATGGTCACTCAACATCCTGCCAGTTTCCATAAAACTAGCAAATCTGCAAAAACACCAATTATTCTCAAAGCTACAATTAGCAACAAATATTTTCTCTAGTTCAAACATTAGTTTTTAACACATCTTTCCTAATTCCCTATAACCATTCAATGCATCATTTCTTCTAAGTTATATCAAAGAGAATAATAGTCTCTTTTTAAAGTCAGCATACAAAATTAAACCTAATAAACCTTTTGGGATCTTTCAAACGGGATACAACTCTCCACGGGCTACATTCGGGACTTGAGCAATATCCCCTCAACTCTGCTAGTGCCTTTGAAGTTTCTTTCTCGGCCTCTTCGCGAAATTCTTCCTCCGTAAGAAAGCGTTTTTTCTTGGGTCCTCGATGCCTGTTGTAAGGTGACATGGAATTAAAAAGAAAAATTTTCAGAAATCCATGGACAGCGTGTATCCAGTTTTACGATTGCAAGCAATACGTCATCTCACTCAATCACATCTACTTACGCCAGGTTTGAAAAAAGCATGATTTTGGTAAAGCACAATTGCAAGCAGGGAAGAAAAAAGGCTATAAGCTTTGATTTGTGGTTTAACCTATGAGTATTGAGATGTGAATCGCGATGAGAATGAGGAAGATATTGAATTGTGCGTTTTGATCATAAACGTTGCTGTATCTGCGAGTGACAGTATGTTTTCAATCTGGTAGGTAACAAAGGTAAGTGCTGAAGTAACAATATAGCATCACGGATAGCCGGTGCTAAGATTTGTACCCTTCCCCCTGTGGAGTGCTGATATCTTTGTTATTGAAAATACATTCGCTCAAAACTTGAATGATGGAAGGTGGGGGGGGGGAGCTGAACTTCACTATACACATGATGTCCATTACGTAATTTGCTATTTGTCTCGACAAATTGGTTCACGGTTTAAACTGCTGAATTATCGAAAAAACATAAATAATTCATGCTAGAAAAATAAGGTATCTAACTGCAATGGTGCTTACAGACGTTGTATCCAGTTATGTATAGCACGAGCCACGTCAAGGTATTCCAAACTGAAATGTACTACTATTACTGTAAGAATGGCTGTCACGGCAACTTCTTTAGCCCATGTACTATTATAAACCAGAAGAAGTCCGAGAAACTGCATCATCCATTTTGTCAAGTTCAGGAATCGCTCGTTTGATGGTGGTCCCTTGTAATACAAGAATGCCAGTGTTGACAGACCTGTAACAAGAAAAGGAAGAAGTGTCTTCAGAGCGTTTCACTTCAGTATACAATCTACTGGTAGTTAAAGTGCTTCGTCTTTGATAAAAAGCTAGCCAGCGAATGTAGCTGGTCTTTCTTCACAAAACTAAACTGTTCCTGCCAGTCTGAAAAGTTATGGCTTCGATTTCAACCAGATCTGTTGATTAGGGCCACTATTAGTTAGAACTGCATGGAACAGCATCATCATAAAACTGTGACTATTGTTTATCTGCATTGTTTACAACGACAGTTGTAGCTGTTGTCTATTGTCTGCATTGTTTACAACGACAGGGTGCCTCACTGAATGACTACCGTTGGAGTAAGAGGAGCTGGTTGAACATTTTAGTACGTCAACAGGTAACACATTTAGGCATTTCACTTTCAGTTATCAATCTGACGTTTAATACCCCGAGGACTGTCCGATGAAAAACGTTTTAGGAATGATAATGCTGTTCTTTGAAATCCGGAAGATTGGTATCACCAAAGAGTATTTTTAATTTGAACATTGGTTGGAAATCTTGCGTCGTACTTCTAAGAACATCCTTTATTTGAAAATAGAAAACTGTAATAAAATTTTTCACATAAAACAATTGCAGATAATTACAGCTGAATCGCTTCAATTCGGACCGTTAAGGGAGGGGTAAGGAAATTGTCCGGCCTATCAGGGGTACAATGTTTAGTATAAAAAAACGTGGGGAGTGAAAGTCGTAGTTATCCAGAGCACTACTTAACGGGATTCAGCAGTATGTGCAAAATATACTCACTGACAACAGCAGTATACCAAAGAAGCCAATTTAAGTGGTATGTAGCATAAAAATGTAGATTCATCAGAAAGCTTTGAGTGAGGTATAAACCAAAACTAGCTCCACTTGCTGCAACCATAACAAGCAATGATTTCTGAAATAGATTCACCACGAGTCAATTCATACAACACGAGGGTAGCGTAGATTATCAAGCATGTATAGAAAAAAATCCAACAAGATAAATAACAAAAATTCCTCAAAAAGACCAATGTAATTTTGTGTGTTTTTGAGTAAATTTCAACACAGCAAACATTACCAATGATATTTTAACAAGAAAACAAACTAAACATGATACCAGGGGCTGGAAAGCTGAACTTTTAAAAAAAACACAAATTGATGGGGAGTTGAGCCCCTTCCCAGGTCCCACAAATAGTTATGCCATTGATTCACAGAAAAATACTGCCTAAAGCTGGTGCTGTGTTCTATAAAGGAGGAAATCTGCCTTAACTCGGTTTGAAAGTAGGATTGCATTGGTGAAACAACGTACAATTATTCGATGATAAAGATACTCTGGTAAAATAAATCAACCAAAAAAAGATACAGTACATTGCCAGACACAGTGCTATCAAAAATCAACTTGCAATACCTTATACGGTAGAAGCTTAAGCAGCAAAATAATAATAACAGTCCATGACATCAGAACACTAATGGTTACACCAGAAGCATAGTAAAATGCCGTGTTTCTGTAAGAAGGAAGGGCAAAATTATAATGTGTTCTAATACTTTGAATCAATAGTAAAACCCTATTGTTATATAAAGGAAAAAGCTGCAGAGAATTGATTTACAAGAGTTCGTTTTATAGCATTATATAATTTCAAAGAAACAAATTTATTGATACATTATCAGGTGATTTTACTATTGAGTATTGATACTGTTGAGTAGAGACTTTCTCTTTTATTGCTACCTCTGTTTCATCAAATCTAACAAAGATGTATTTGAAAATGTTTTATAGTGGTATACCTGCTACAGTGCTCAGCAAAGAAGAACAGAAAAACTCCAATGGCAAACAATCCAAGTAGTTTTGGATCAAATGCTACAAAAGAGATAATATAAAACACTTTTACATCAGTAAGTAAATCACATCAAGCGGACAAAATGTAGAAGGATTCAAGTCAAAGTTCGCACAAGAGAGTAAAAACATGCTTTAAACAAAACAAAATGATGAATGTGTACATATTTTGTTAAAGAAAAAACAGCTGGTGAAAAATCATTTTCAGGTTTTTAGGTGGCACTGTAATGGTAAACTATCCGAGTATGTTTTCAATTTACACAGGTCTCATTTGATTATGTGTCTTATTACAGAGATTCCTTTGATGGCATCTAGCTGCAGATTGAAGATAATCAAGATACGATATTGCTCATTTTAGTGCTAGTTGCTTGGGTGCCCTTCTTCAAAGAAAATCTTCAATAAGGTTCAAGAAAGGATCTCAAGCAAAGGATTACTTACTTTGGGAGTCACAAATCACAGTTACGCTATTATCTTCCTCATCTGATGACAAGGCAAGGTATTGATCGATAAAAGGGGAACATTCCTGTTTTGTTGTATTTCCGTATGTGTTTACACCATTACTAAGTTGAATCAACCTTCCAAAAATTCTTCTCAGCAAGCCAGGCTGTTGGATCTTTAGAACCTTAACTAAATCTTCTTTGCTACAAATGGGAAAATTATTGTATTTTAAAAGATCATGAATAATTAAATATGAGCTGATTTACACAATATTGAACAAAAATCACAAACACCTCTGTAATTTATAGCAAAGCAATTAACAGTAAACACATAATGTGGTACCGTAAATCCTTGAATTAGCCCCCCGGGGGCTTGTTTATTGTTGATATTTTTGGACAGGGGCTATTCGAAGGGGGGGGGTTATAAAATCATAGTAGAAATTAAGAAGAAATTATTAAAAGACCTCTTATATTTTAGTAGGAGCTTCTATATAAACATTTAATTAATTATTACCAAAAGTATGAGTTTTGGTAGTAGTTCAATGAAACGCCAAAAGCAAGCTAAGATGGCAAAAACCAACAAATCGAGAGGAAGCCAATTCGAGGACTTATAGTAGCAGTGGGGGCTTATTTAAGGGGGGGGGCTTGTTGACACTTGTAGTTCTAGGGTGGGGGCTTATTCAAAGGGTGCGCTTTTTCAGAGGGGAGGGGGCAATTTGCGGAGTTACAATTATTTTTAAAACCATATTTTTAGTAAGCAAAGAAACAATTTATTTTTCATAATTCAGTTAAACCAATACATTTAGTGGAAGAGATCAATATTGTCAGAGAAAGATGACATTTTGAGGGCCGTTGTGAACAAACAATCAAAATTTTCTACATTCTCAGCAATCAAGAAACACATACCTTGTTCTCAAATTCACTTCTGTTTTTTTTGATGAGTTGATGACTATTTGAAGTCTACTAAATATATTGAAGAGTCCAAACTGAGACCCTTTAATCTTGTAAATTTCATCATTTGAATCATCATTTTTTTCCAACTTACAAGAATCAACTGTAATAGAAAAATAGATAAATGAGACATTGTCACATTGAATATGCCTTCAAGATTTACAAATTCTAAAAATAAATACAATATCAATAAACAAAGTGCAAAAATATACTGAAATCTCAAATCTACTCAAAGAACATAGTTGAAATGATTTAACAAAAATTCCATCAAGGCATTAAGAGATATAGCCTCGTTTTCTTTTGAGTGTGAAAGCTTTTACTATTTACTGAGAATTTGAAGCTTGATTACATACTGCATGAAAGAAACATTCCACAAGCTTCAAGGCAGATGATTTTCTACAAATTGTAGAGGTACGGCTATGCTTTGGGATTTTTCTTTCCACAAACCATTGTTCAAGGTAAAAACACATTTTCGTGATGGCTGCTGTTGTAACTTTGAAAGTTTTATCATTTAAGATTATAAACAGGGTGTTTCCAAAATAAATATTCAGTTAAAATCCGTTTATTGGTCGGCAAAGTAAGCAAGTAGTCCAGTGGATCCGTTTTGCGTTTAGAAGTCGAGCTCACAGTAAAACAGATGGTTATTCGTGAAAGCAGAGAACACAATTTAATAGGAGAATCTAATATGAAACTGAACAACATAAAGGCTAACAAAAAGAGTTCTTAACACCTGAAAAGCACGTAACAATAGTATTGAAAGGGTTATTTTGTTATAGCTTATCATTAAACACAATGCAACGTTTCGCGTCGCGGGCGATAAGTCTTTCCGTGTCCAAAAAGAATTGGCTGTAATATTCTAAAATCAATATGCGGTACCGCAGCGCAACTACACAAGACATCTCCCCACCAAGGCGGAGGCGAGGACAACTTCTTTGGTTTAGGGGCTCGTTTGGATCTTTGTGGGTTGTGAGGACCATACTCTGGTTTAGCTGGATTTCTTTCGGTGGCAGGTCTTTGTAGTTCCACAGAAGTAGCAGCGCTAGTCCGAGGTGAAGTTGCTCTCTCTGTAGACGCGGAAGGAGGAACTTCCGGACCACCATAATCTGCTCGAGGGTTTCTCTGGAAGCATCCATAGGTGAGTTGCGCGTGGCCTCAATATCCTCATCGATGTTCGGCCAATAGGCAGCCGTGCAAGCTAGTTGCTTCATTCGCTGCATTCCAAAGTTTTCTAGGTAAAGAGGTCTCAGAACCTTCCTTTTCATGCTTGCTGGAGTCACCACTCTCGACCCATGGACTAAACATCCATTACATATGGACAGTAAAGTAGCAACCTGTAGGAATCTGTGCTTTTTTGTTCCTTCATCGTTCTTCTTTGGTTGCCAGCCTTCTCGAATGAATCTTATTACCATTGAAATTATTGAATTATTTGCTGACTCTCTTGCAAGAGAACCTTGTTCTACTGGAGTGACTTTCTTGTCGATTGTCTGTATCTGGTATTCATGTGTCATCATCACGTTTCTCCTTCTCAAGTTATGAATCTTTCTGCAGAGGTCAGCATTAGCGTGATCCTTAATCTTCCTGAATTCAATCTTCTAGTTAAATTGGCTTAACTCTAAGTCCATCGAGCCAGTCAGTTAGCAGCCATTAGAGGAACATCTTTCCTGGTCCAAATAGAGCTAACAATTGTCAATGATGTGACCAGTACAAACTTCCGTCCAAATGAGTACGGGTAGAACTTCTTCAATTGCCAGTGCTTCTTTTTGGATTTGGCTATAATTCCTTTGACTTTCCGTAAGAGTTTTGAAGACGTTGGCAATCGGGCGCTCGCTTCCCTCCGGAAACTGTTGAAATAATACGGCCCTAATTCTAACGTTTGAAGCATCGCATGCCAGACCTAGGGTGTGCTTCTCTCCAAAATGAACCAGGACATTCTCTGAAGAGAGCAAGTCTTTAAGACGTTGGAAAGTCTTTGGTTTTCTTGCTGCCATTCCCACTTGACTGTCTTCTTTGTCAGCTTGTACAAAGGCTCTGCTATTGTAGCTAGTTCTGATGGTAGGAATTTGGCATAAAACTCGACAGATTCTAGGAATGCTTTAAGACTTGATACGTTTGTAGGAGGTGTCATTTTAAGAACCGCATCTACCTTGAGGCCTTTTGCGAATCCTTGTTGTTATATTCTTGTTTTTATCAAATATAGATTTTAGTCAGAGAGAAACAACTGCACACATCGGTCAAGCAATAACAACTGAACAGAACAATGGTTAAGATTAACATCAACAACATGTTAAGATATCACAAGGATTATGACATAGGGTGTCCGTATTTACACTATATTACACTTGTTGTGACAGTAGATGTCCCAAATACTAAACATATGGCCGGGCAAAGTGACATTTTTCCAGCCGACAACGGAGACCTTTGTCTTCCAGTCTTTGGAGCAAACGCCAAAGATTGCTCAGGTGGTCCTCTGCATCGATCCTGCTTCTCCGCAACAAGTGTGTCGTCTAGATAGGTAGCCACACGAGGAAGGTCCATGGTGAGCTGATCCATGACCTGTTGAAAGTATCTGGGGCAGATTTGATACCAAATGGTAATCTTTCCTGCAGAAACACTCCCTTATGAGTGCTAAGTGTTATTCTTCGTTGACTTTCCGGGGCAAGCTTGATTTGACTATACGCATCTGACAAGTCAATTTTGGTGAATCCATATCCTCCTCCTAATCTTCTTATAAGAACCACAGGGAGACGAAGCGGATGCCGATGATCTCTGACAGTAGCGATTGTTGACTGTGACATAATAATCCCCACAGACTCTGATATCGGGTTTCTTTTGTCCTGGGAGCAAAGCTTTCTTGATAGGAACCATAGGAGCCCCAAATTGGCAAAATGTGTAGCTTCCCATACTCCTTTCGTTTTACCCTTCTGATATTCTTCTTCCAAATCAGCTTCCACGGTGAATGGAACTAGCCTGGCATTCCTGAAGATAGGTTGGACATTGTCCTTAAACTTTACTTCGAGTTCATAGTCCTTGAGGCATCGTAATTCCGGTTCCCATAAATCTTAAAACTTCTTCTGTAGTTTGATGTCAGCCTCTAGATTGCTATGGACTGTATGGCATGATTCGATATCGTTGAGTGCTTTGGCTACAGAGATGCCCAGCTCCTTGGTAGTATTGCGTCCCAATAGGTTAAGTTCTGGGATTTCTGACACTGTATATTTTTGTCATGTGTCCTCCGACTCCTATGTTGATGTTTTGGCGACAAAAGTATCAATGACTGGTAAACTATGTTTACTTGCTGATTCATAGTGTTAATCAGGCTTCAGAAGTTCTGGACTTCCCAAATCCTTCCATGTCTGCCTTGATATGAAGTTCCCATTCATTGCAGTATCCAGTTCCATTGTGCACGTTCGCCCGTTCGGATCTCGATAGGTACTTCCAGCTTTGGCATGGTTTTTTCATTCACTGCTTTGATTTCACGGATGCGTTTTACTGGCGTCTTTGAGCTTTTACTAGTTGCAGAATTTTTTATTCTGCATACTTTCGATGAATTGTTTTTCCTTTAATTCCGCAGAAGTGGCATTCTGAATTCTCGAAAAGACATTGTGGTACTTGGTGTGTTTCAGCACCACAGCCGTAACAAGCTGATTTGCCTGTCTTGAACTTGGTTTCCATTGCTTTGTCAGGGGGCCGCGGAGTGGCCTTGTGTAAAGATTTTTGTCCAGCCCCATGAACAGTGTCTTTGGCCACTTTAGCTGCACCCTTTGTTTCTGTGGCAATTTCAATAGCCCTAGCGAAATCCAGTTCGTTTTTTTTACCTCAAAAGAGGGTTTTAAGCACTGCCTCATTGTTTACAAGACAAATAAAGCGAGATCTGAGTGCTTCATCCTGAGGGTCCTTGATGGATGCAAAGCCACGGGTGGCAGCATCTTGGCGAATGTGTGCTGCAAGCTCCTGTAGCGTTTCACCTGGCATTCTGCGCATATCACTCCAAAACTTGAAGCGTTCGTGTACAACAAATCATTTGGGGTCATTAATGCTGAGGTCCTTCATAGTTATGAACTATTTTTCCAAATACCCAGAAGTTGCCAATGATCATAGTAACAATCACTCTCAGTTGTTCAAGCAATAAAGACTGTTTTTGCACATCATGGAATTCCACACGCAGTCATTGCTGACAATATGACATTTAATTCATGTGAATTCAGAGACTTTGATAAACTATGAAATTTTGAACTCACTACATCAAGTCCAAGATATTTCAAAAAGTAATGGTGAAGCAGAGAAGAATGCAGGGATACTGAAGATGATCGCAAATGCAAGGAAGATGGGACAGATCCAAACCTACAGAAACATGCCAATTAAAAGTATGAATTACAGTCCAGCTCAAATGTTATTCAACAGACGTCTTGATAAATAATTAACCAATCAATGATAATCTATTCAAGTTGCTGTCAATATCAAGCAACAGTTGGTTGACTGACAAATCAAACAGGCAGGATACTATGATAGGGGTTCAAGGCCACATTGTGAATTTGAAAGGAGGTATTCTGTAAGAGTTAAACTAGATTGTGGAAGAGAGTGAATTCTTGCAAAGAGAGAAAATCAACATTGGACACCTAGAAGCTATATTGTTACCACACACAAGGGACAGAAAATCAGACTGAACAAAAGTATGATAGTCAATTCACATATTGGTTAAACTATATTTGCCTCAGTATCATGTCTGTAGCTAACACTGGCTGGGCCAGTAGTCTTTTGTTATTAGTCTTTAATATGCCCTTTGCCCCTCACATTCCATCTTGTGGCTGAGCCTATGTTACCTATCTGGCTTTATTCAAGTTGCAAAACCAGAAAGGCAACTTCAATTTCAATACAACTAATATGCTTCTCGCATATATCATTGTCCAAACATTTACGCACAAGTTTACATGCCCTGGTATTTTTATGCCAGGTTTACATGCCAATGCGGCAACTGATTGGATTGCTGTGGGATTTTTTGAGTTTCCGTTGATTATTTTCAAAAATCAATCATGAAATGACAAGAGTCTCTTTGCTTGAGTTGAGCTCAACTTGAGTAGCAGTACCCCGCAATACATGAAGGTTGGTAGAATCATTGAGTCATACACTGCTTTTGCAGAGGTCAGATCAAGGAAATCAATTATATTTGCCAATAATCGCAATCTGGATTATGCTCGTTTGAAACACTTCTCAAAGTGGGTATTCATATTTAGTGTAGACCCAATAGAAGCTCACAATAAATGTAACGAAAAATGCAACAAAAGCCATCTCGCATTGATTCGAGACATTTATTTTGAACCTCATGCATTTGAACCTGATGTATTTGTAATGAATCTTAGATTTGGATCCTGCCTATCATTGGATGTGAAATACCTTTTAATTGATAAAATAAACTTTCACCAAAAGACAGGGGAAGATTAGTACAATAACCATTATTAAATCTTTCAAATTACTTAAACAACTTTGCAACTATTTTTTCTTTACTTTCTTAGCATTGAAAGTTAGTAATGACAAGGATACTGAAAATTGAAAAGCCTCTACCAATTCCTTCTTGAAAGTGGATTGTCTTGCTTGTTCTGTTCTGGCATTATGATTGATAAAAGGCATTTATTTTGTGTTAAAGTTCTTGAGTGGTTTCTATTCGTTTGCAATTTTCTGCACTACAATGGAACCTTTTTTCTAAATATATTACATTTGGTGGGCGCTTACTTTCAGCATTGCCAGCATCACTACTATCACCAGTTTCCCGCAGAGTTTCTGGCCCACCCAAAATCTCATCAAAAAATGCCACACATTCCAGTCTGGCCTTCTAGACTGGGTAGAGATCAAGAGCTGCCTAAATAGCAAATTAGGCTCATATTTCAAATTTATTTGATGGTATTTTTTAACTCATCAATTTTGGTAGTTTCGAACTACCATCACAAAGCTGGTGATGGTAGTTCGAAACAGTTCTATAAACTACATATTTTTGTGTCGGGTCACTGTTGTCCTGTATTTTCAAACATCACATTTGTTGCACTATGTCTATCAGTCCAGTGCTAAACCCAGTCTGAGAAGCTTGGCAGTACACTAAAAGGTCTTGTGTGTGCAAGAGCAAAAAAATGTGTGTGTTAGTGCAAAAGTACTGACAAAGTGTGCAATGTGTGATTCAGTTTTGGTTGAATGTGTACAGCAAGCATCCAATAGGCAAAATGCCATCTAAGAATGGCTCTCACCATGTGTGCACAGTATTTTTTCTGCAAAAGTGCTTCATTGTGGACAAACTATGACTTTCTATTATAATTTAGCATGGGATCACATTAGAATTTTGAAATATCAAATCAAAAATTTGTGATGTGAAATATTTCCAAGGCCATTCTACAATAACCTAAAGGACATGTTCTTCAAATACTTTCTTGGAGGAGGGCCCTCAGTCTTGGAGGAGGGCCCTCAGACTTCCAACTTGGTAAACATTAATGCATTGCTCTTACCCAAGACCAAATTGCATCTATAATTACAAAATTAATTTGAAAGCAACATTTAAAGTTAGAGAAAGTCATATTGTTTTGATAAGTCCTGATGCTGTTTAACTAGATGACCATAAAAATCCATTTCATTATCATTTTATAACACAACAAACTAGTTGATAGCTCATATAAAGCCTGATTAATAGATACAGCCCTACGTTTTGGTGTGCATCAGACAAATCTTTGAGAAAAATCTTCTGTGTGCACATGACATACTCTGCAAACTGGTGCTACGCTGGTTCTGGTTAAATAGCTGCGGAACGCGTTCCCCGCGCATACCCAAACTTTGCAGTCTGGATCAGCCGGTCTGCAGAGTATGGTACTTTCGACGAGATCTCCGGTGTGCACGAGCAAAAAGCCTGGTGTGCCGGTGTGCAGAACCAAAAATGTCTGGTGTGCTGGTGTGCACCGACTATTTTCCCCTGTTTTGGTTGAAATTTATGAATTTGCATTTCACCGTAAAAATGCGTGTGAAGTATACTGTTGAAGATAGCGCAAGTTTTTATTTGTATATTTGTCAAGTAAGATTCATGATATCTCAAATCGTTCATACACAACTGTGCTTGTTTTTATCAGCTGACATTTTTTTATGGGACCACACCAAGCCACACCCATCTTAGTTGCCACACCCAAAAATACCCGTTGTGCAACAGGTTTTGCACAAAAATATCTCCGGTGTGCACATGCCATACTCTGCAGACTGGTGGATCAGGTGGCCTAAGGCTTTAGGCTAAGTAAGTGATCAAGGCAAATGAACTACTTACAGATATGCTTTTGCTTCAAACAATTACACTGAGCAGTGATCCACTCCATTAAAAGAAAAGTTGTAAGCAAATGTGTGCACTGCATTTTCAAGAATATTATTTTTTTTCAAACAGTACTTCACTTCAAGGCCGTGCTTCAAGCTTCGCGCGGACTTTCAGTCGAGAATGAGGACAATTCCTGCGTATCGTCGAAACGAGGTTCTTGTTTTCACAGATGTCAGATGTCATTTGTTGGAGTAAGAGAATAACTAATTATGAGGCAGAAAAAAAATTTACTCAGCTGCCCCTCCTGCCCTCTTCCAGGAGGGGCAGAGGGGGCAAGCAGTGCTCTTAAATATTCACTCCTAACAAAAGATTAAAGAATCTTGTAGATAATTCATACTAGTTTAGCCACTCTCGCTAAGTTAATTCCCATAAGAAATTCAAAAAAATAAAAAATCTCCTTTTTTGCATTCGGTCATTGATAATGGAAAATTATTATCTAGAAAATGATAATAATCTTAAAAAGGAACATTTTCTTATAAGATATTGACTATTTTGCACATCATCAGAACAAGAATGTTACGCTTATTTCATGATTAATATAAATATAATGAAATAACATAATGAAAAAATATAAAAAAAGCATGCTGAAGTAAAAAGTTATCTGATTGACATTGGATAATTGTGATTATTATTTTCCATTCTATATTCTCAATGATTCTGCAACCACAGAGACCAAGCGGAAAATCAAAGTCTTACAGCCAGCCCATTTTTAATTGCCATGATTTTCGTAAAACCAAACTTTTCTAAAAATGACGAGGCCATTTAATACCCACTTGCATGGAGAATTTTGTCAACCTATGAATATGTTTAGAGCCTTTGAAAGGAAAAATCCTGATAGGAATATGGTATAGCAATAACTCGATAACAAAGCAATAACAAACACACTCATTAATATTTGCTCTCCACGAGCAGCTCATTCACTTGAACTTGTTCAACATGAGCAAAATTCGACCATAAAATAAAATAAATATAAGGTCGCAATAGCTTAAACTTCCACAAGACGAGCCAACACACTCATTATTACTTGCTCTATTAGAAACGCATTCATTCAAAACTTGCTCAACATGAGCAAAAGCAATCATAGAATAGTAGAATTATAATCTAGCAGTAACTTAATATTGGCCAACATGAGCAAACACAATCATTCATACTTGCTCTACTCGAGCGTACTATAGAAAAAATAATGAGAGGGCATTTTGACTTGCCTAGTCGGACTGTTCATGATCCTACAAAGACTTACTTGATAACTCGAAAGCATACCTAATTTTAGTGTGCAGCGATAACCAATTTGTGCAGTGATAAACTGAAAACGTGCAGTGATAAATCATGAAATTTTCAGTGATAAAAATGGTGCTTTGTCATTTTCGTCATACTTGGAAAAGGGTCATGACTTTTTCTGTACATACATATTGCAAAGTTTAACTGCTTGACCAACTCTAATGCATTTCTGAATTTTTAGAATTTTCGGACTTTCAGAATTCTGAATCAAACAGAATTTCAAAATGTCAAAAAGATCATCAAGATTGTTTTAGAAGAGTCTTGATTGAGTTCCAAAACCTATTCAAGTGCAGGGGCGGACTGGCTAATTTTTTTGGCCCGGGCAAATTATGATCAAACCGGCCCACAAAGATAGCAAATAAAAAGCTACACGGAAAATGCAAGTAAATGTTAGTCTGTAAGGAAAACAAGTTTTTAAATTCAGTAATTTTGTGCATGGATGAATGCTGGTTAACAGAACATGTTAAATATGTCATTTCCTGACTAAATAGTAAATAAACAAAAATTTGAACTCATTGGTTTGACTTTCTTTCTAAATACAGTAACTTATATGTTGATAATGTGATCGTTCTAGATGTCATCTAACAGGTGTTTTTCTAAGAACATTAACATGAAGGACTCCAGGTTTGGCTGCGAAAAATTACCACGTAATCTGTTCTTTATATATTTAAAGTGGAAAAGCTTCTATCACACTCAACTTGTGACAAATAATTTTCTAATCCTCCGGAAAACCACAATGATTTTCAGCCGCCCAAAAATATCGATTTGTCAATTTCTGACCCCAGTTGAAATTTTATCGTGTAGCACCATACCCCTGTTGGGCGGGGGTCCATTTGACTTATGATAGTATATGCCTAATAAATTTACCATAACTTGTATGAGTTTATTGAAAGGAGCAAAAGCAAGACCCTGCTATTTTTTGTGACGTTTGTGGCTTTTGCTTGATAAAAAAAGCTTTGTATCGTAGCTGGAGTCTCGCAGCTTTTCCTTACGAAATTTCTGTGCACCACCTTTGGTTGAAGTCTTCTTGCTCTTCCCTTGTTCTACGTATGTCCTCTTCATTACTACACATCACAGAGCAAATCGCGTAGTGAACTCTAATTTTTGGACTTTTAAATTTATTACATTCAGCAATAGCTTGTGCTTAGGGAAAAACATGTCCAGCTTCAAGCAAAAGCTAAGTAAAAAGACATCAGGGCAGGTTAAAATCTTAAGACCCGGCAAAACGACTGGACATTTTCACTGAACATGCACTGGACAAATGTCCAGCGTAAATGTTGCGTCGTTTTGCCACCTTGTCCAGTCTTGTTCAGCGATGTTGAATGTTGTTCAGTCGATTTTGAAGGCAGCCAAAAATTTTCAGTGGACAGGATTAAATTTATTTTGTTCACTGATGTTATTCAGAAATTGTTCAGTCGTTTTGCCACTCTACTGAACATTGTCCAGTTCGCGCACGCGCAATCGATTAATGTTTTGGATTTGGCGTCAATTTATTTCCCATTTTCAAATCTTCAACAAACTTTCCTAGTCAACACCGCGAACGAAATGGAAACAACGTGAAAATTCAATTCGACCAATAGCAGAAAAAGGCATTTCATTAGTAACGACGAGTCTTCTGATCAGATTAGCTTTAGTTCCGATAAGGAAAGCGATGTCAGAGAGCACGAGGACGGTGATTTTGATGAACCTAGCCCTAGCCACTTTTCAATAATACACTCTAATTCATACGATAACACGGTTAGGGCTATGAAAAGTGTATTTTCAAAGGTAAATAAGGTAAAAGGCTGTCCTTGTTGCTCAGTTTTTACCCACCGGCATTTTCACACGCGAGGAAGATTCACCCCCGTGGGACAATGGTTCCAGCATCGTTTTTAGGGCCATGAACCCAGATAATTACTTGGATGTCCATACTTGAAACAATGACGCAATTCTAGTGTGTCTCAGATGAATTTTCCTGCTGTCGATTGTTTCCGCCGTGTGAGCCTTTCTGGTCCGAATGAGGCGCTGTCTAGATAGGGATCGTGACAGTATAATGATGTTCGCAAATAGAGGGATAATACCGTCGAGAGATCATAGATATTAACAAAAATGTCTCTAAATAACAGTTCCTTGAACGTTAAGTTGTGTAGTCATTTGGTATTCTTTCCCTCAAGAAAGTTTCTGAAGAGATTTATAGGCAGGACGAGATTAACGCGTTGGGTGCATTACTTTTATGACCTCGCATTCACTATATATTAAAGCTAATTGATTTCTTTGGACTCACTTATTACATCACAGTTGCTCCTTAGAACTCTCTCTTTCTCGAATGGCCCTTAAACGACCGGCCTTCGGGCGATCGCCCGAATAGCCCTTGACCAGCCAGTGCCGCCCCTGTTGCAAGTGTTTATAATTTCAGAAATAAACAACTTAGACGGTAGCGAAACGTACACAAAACAAAGCATAGAATATTTATATTACTTAACGTTGTATAATTAGCATCTTATATGAGAACGATCTTTAAGAAAGCTGAATGATATTTTCATTAAACTGATGAACATTGTCGTTGCCATAACATAAGCAAATCTCTCTGGTAGGATTGACTAGATTTTTTTAATTCATTCAACACTATGAAATGATAGATCACACTTCGATCAGGCAACATACCGACAGAAAAAGAAGTTAGCGAGTAGAATCAAGGAAACATAGGTCTAGCCGCAACACGTGCGAGATTCTGTCAGCCCTTGCTCTTTCCGTTCAGAGAAACGATAGTTATGCCGTGAGCCAAGAAGCATTGACCATTCAAAGGAGATACACAAATCAGTGAC